CATAAGCGGGAAAGGCGTCTCCAACTGGCGGACACTGTCTTGAAGCATCGAGCTGAGTTTGCCTTTGCTTGAGAACGAGAGAGCTCTGACGTCTCTGCGTGACGAGCTAAGGGTAGCTCGTGGGATTGTTGATCGGTCTCGGGCTGAGATAAGTGCTCTTCAGACCCTTGTCGATGGCCACCTTCGGGAGCACAAGGCTCTCTGTGAGATGCTTGAGCGCAAGGGCGTTCTTCATCGGAAGAAGCAGCGTACTGATGGTACGGCTTAAGCCGACCAGCGTAAAACGTGGGATGCGTTCGCATCTTACGTGGCAATTCGATCGTGTATGCATTGCCTAGGCGATGCAATACACGAAATGGGCCGATGTACTTGGGTAGAAGATTACTACTACCCAAGTTAGTCACTACATGCTTTGTTAGGTTAACCGTGTACAGTAGGACTAAGTCACCTTTATTAAATAAAAGAGTGTTTTCCCTTCCATTCTTGTCAGCGTTTTGCTTTTGCTTATCCACCTCTTCGGCGATGGAGTCTTGCACAAAACGGACTACCGTTTCACGAGCCAGTATGAACTCATCTGATGACTCGTTAGCTTCAGTGCGCTGTGAGTGCACTGCAGCGACATCAATCTTTTCTTCAGTGAGGGCTTCCGCGCTCTCACTGGCATCATCTTCTTCGATATCGATGTTATCGATATCGGCATCAAACGCAATGACCTCATCGTCAGAGCATGATGAGCATGAAAAAAAATCGGTTCTTGCTCGCGCGAGTCCCTCCCCCCTTAACCCAGAGTTGTACTCTAGTAAGGTGGGTACAAGCGGATGGCGTAAGCCATTCACGTAAAACGGTGTATGTGTCGTGGACGCATGCACCGAGTTGTTTATGGCAAACGCTACCATTGGCAAGAACTCACTCCAACTCTTAACGAAGTGTACGTATCCTCGAAGTATCTCTTCGAGGACACGATTGGCACGTTCCGTCTGACCATCTGACTCAGGATGATCAGATGTCGACATCTTCAAGCGCGTTCCGAGTGATTTGAACACGGAACGCTAGAAATCAGCAGTGAAGCGTGGATCTCTGTCTGATACGAGTTCACGGGGCAACCCATGAAGTCGGAAGATGGTGTCAATAAAGACACAAGCACAGCCACTTGCTTTGATTGACACGGGTACAGCCACAAAGTGTACCATTTTGCTGAATCTGTCAACCTATACGAGGATACCCGTATTCCCGCGTGCGTCTTTGGGTAACCCGAAGACAAAATCCATTGAGATGGATTCCCAGCTCGCTGCCGGAACCGGTAGAGGCTGTAAAGGTGCACGCAGTGAAGGACTTGACTTCACTCGTTGGCAGACTTCGCATGCGCGAACATACTTTCGCACAAACTGATACTGGCGGGGCCAGTAAAAGTCTCGACTCACCGTGAGATATGTTTCTCCCGGCCACGATGTCCTCCTATAGGAGCATCGTGATACTCGAACATGATCCGCAAACGCAGATCAGTATCATCTGGAATGACAACACGTGGTGTGTCACCAGAAACGGCTGTATAATACAGTAAACCGTTACGAGTAGTGTATCGATCTGATGCAGATCGATACGCAGACGACAATCGTTTCAACGATTCTCGAGATGGTTGGGAGAGATGTGACAACAACTTCACTATCTCACCATCTTGGGCGTATGCCCGCCTCACATCATCATACAACGTTGTAGATGGGACTGAGGACGTCATAACCGCAACAGTGACTGTCTCACTGTTGGGTTTCGCGACTGTTTCAAAGTCGGGACGACGTGAGAGTGCATCAGCGAACGACATTAAGTCGTCCTGGTTTGTACTCGACCGTAAAGTTGTATTCCGCAAAGAATGACAACCACCGCGCCATTCGTTGTGAAAGGTGCGGGCTGTTCACTGCCGTGCGTAATGACGCATGGTCAGTGTAAACAACGAAGGGTCTATCTCCTAATAGATAGACTCTGAACTTCGCGAGTGCATACTTCATGGCAAGGAGTTCCTTGTCATGCACTGGATAGTTCCGCTCAGCTGGTTGCAGCTGACGCGACTGATAGCAGACGACGCGTTCAACGCCTTCAAGATCGTACTGCATTAGTGCACAGCCGATTGCGAAATCGCTGGCATCACAGACCACATGAAATGGCCTGTCCTGATCGGCTATTGCTAGGACTGGGGATTGTATCAAGCTCTGCTTGATACCCTCAAAGGAGCGTTGACATTCAGCGTTCCATAACCACCTCTCGTTCTTTTTCAACAAACGAGAGAGGTGCACAGTCATCTCGGCGTAATTGCGTGAATATTTGTGCAAATACGCCGCTAGCCCAAGGAATTTTCGAAGACCTTTGACATCGACCGGCACAGGCCAGTCGGTGATCGCCTTGATCTTTTCGGGATCAGGACGTACACCGTTCTTACCAACGATGCACCCAAGAAGTGGTATTTCGCTTGCTGCAAATATACACTTCTTGAGGTTTGCATACAATTGATGCTTTCGCATGATTGTAAGAACTTGTCGGACGTGGTACTATGTGAACCTCAACGTCCGACTTTCCATCCATAGCTCGACTATGGATGAATACGTCATCGAAATAACTCGGCGCGAATTCTCGTACTGGCCTCAACAGATGTGATACACATCTGTTGAACGTGGCAGGGGCATTACTAAGCCCTTGTGGCATTACTAGCCATTCCCAGAGCATGCCGCTAGGCGTGCTAACTGCGGTATAGGGTATATCCCGTTCCCGCATAAGGATTTGATAGAAGCCATCCATCAAATCCATGGACGAAAAGATGGTACTCTTTGACATACCATCAATGATTACGTCCTTCCTCGGTATCGGCGTCTGAGCCGGTACCGTTGCAGCATTCAGCTTGTTAAATGCATGCACTATCCGCCACCCTCCTGTTGCTTTTCGCACACAGAAGGTCGGAGAGCTATGTGGGGAAGTTGATTCCCTCACATGGCCCGCAGCTAAACGATCGGCAAAGAACTTGTCGATCGCAAGTGCTTGTTCACGAGGCAGTGGCCACTGCTTCCTGACACAGTACTTCGCGCCTGGTTTAAGCTCGACCTCGTGCCGAGTACCTTTATCCTTCGGTGATTCGCACGGAACAGTTTCAGGGAATACATCCTTGAATTCAACCAAATCTTCACAGAGAGAATTTGTCTTGAGCGATTCCCACGATTGGGAGTCGTATCGCTCAGCTCGTGTCTTTTCATCGAGGACGCTCTCGTCCATCGATGAACTACTGAGAACTCTCTCGTTCTCAGTAAACATTGTTGCCGACCTTATGTCGGCTACACACTCGTCGTCAGCGACGAATACGCAGATCTGCTTGACTTTGCCACTACGCAGATCACGCAAGAACCTTTTATGTTCGAGCGTTGGCAACTGAGTGATCTCCGAAGTCAACATCGGAGGCGCAATCAGATTAAGTGTGTAAGCGCCTACGCTTGATCCGTTATTGACTATGACATTCAATGTCTCTGTCATGTCCTGGGGACTTATTCCCTCAGGCCTCGAAGGCTTATTCCTTCGGCTTCCCGGGGACTTATTCCCGCGGGTTTCGGGGAACTTATTTCCGCCGTATCTGTAATATCGGGACTGATTCCCTTTATTTCCTCTAGATGTGGTTGCGCAACCACAGCGAGATCCTCTACGAAAGACTCTCCAGTCGATCTAGGATTATCGTTTCGCTTAACCTGAGCGATCGATTGTTTATCTTCTAGATGTTCCCCGCTAGGGATACATCTTTGTCCCAGTCCACCCGACTTATTCGAGTGGTGGACCTTCGGCGCAGCCTATATTTCCTCACAGCCGCCGGAACTTTGCTCCGAAGCGTAACCGTTTGGTACACTAAGGTTTTGTGCAGTCGTACTAACGACCGCACCACAAGTGAGGCCATCGCACTCACTCGTAGTACATCCACACGCTTGTGGACTCTCCAAAACGTTCATCAGATGGCCATCTGATGAACAAGCGGCAGGCATCGTTACTGTTCGATGTTGCCAGTTTACTCGTGGTTCGTACCTTCTGAGCCACGGTATTCCAAGGATGACATCAAATTTGTCATCCAAATCCAATACGATAAAGTCATCGTCATATTGGGTATCTTCTAGCGTATAGTGAATCTTCACTATACGCTTCATGACGGTTACGGATGCGCCTGTCGCAAGACGTACCGTCATCCTCGTAGGAGGTGTGTCACATTCTCTAAACTCGAAGTGACCATCTTCTAGCGATTGGCGTCGCACAAAATTGTTGGACGCCCCACAATCGACTAGAGCTCGAAGGGACAACTTATTCGTCACTTCGAGTTTCGAGGTAATGAGTGAGATCTCATTAACTGGAGCAGCAACGCACAATGTTTGTGTGTTGGGAGCAACCTTCGTCAAGAGGCCTGCAAATTCTATTGATGTTGCTGGACCAGTAGGGTGCTCCGCACCTACTGATCCTGTCCCTTTTTTACGTTCCATCCCGTTGTTGCGTCTTTGCACCAACAGCCGACACGCGTCCCTGCCCCTTTCTCACGGGTGGACGGTCATTACGCCCAGTGCTGCGAGACACTGGACGAGGGGCGATATACTCGTAAGCGTAGTGTCCTGTCTTTTGACAGCTGTTGCATCTCTGCAACTTCTTGTAGTCTGTAGAGCGAGCCTTCTAACTCTCTACATAACAGAGTTCCATCGGCTCTGGACTTCCGCTGTCATATCCTCTCGGTGTACGATATGATGTCGAGCTGGCGCGAGCCTGTCTCATACTGAAGTCTTCCTGTTCCGCAATAGAAATGGCTTGTTCTAGTGAATCCAGTTCAAGTCGGAACAGGTGATTCTTGACGGGACCGTCCGCAAGACCTTTCTTGAACACCGAAACCAACGTGTGTTCATATATCAGGTTGGAACTTATACAACTCGCGAGATGTCGTATATGTTGTGCGTAAGCGTGCACATCACGCTTACCTTGTTTGAGCTTCAAGAGTTTGGTTAAAGCTCTGAACTCAGCTCTAGGCAGTTCAAACGTTTGTCTGAGCCGCGACTTGAAGACTTCCAACGACCCAAACGCATATGGGCGTGCAACTTGAGCCCTAAAGCCCAAGTCTTGGCACGTCCTGCCAGATTTGATTGGGCAAATGCAACTTGCATATCCCCGTCGTCGATGCGACGCGCCCTTATGGCGTCATCTAATTGGACGAACCATCTCAAGAGGGAGTCCTCTTCGACTCCCCTATACTTTGAGATGTCAATCTTCAAAGTCTCGGGCCGACGCGAGTGCATCGACCCGCCAGCAGCAGCCTGCTGCTGTCTCAACAGTTCAAACTGTTGAGCACCTTGTTCTCTCAACAACTCTGCTTGTTGAGAACCTTGTTGGTGAAGCAAGGCTACTTTCTCGCGTTCTGCGTCAAGTTCATTTTGAATGAACTTGGCGATAGTAGCATGTTGGGCATCTCTATTGAGAGCCTCTAGCATGACGCTAACAGCATGGATGCCCATGGTCGAACCCATTCGTTCAACCGCATCCCATTCGACATCGCTCAAATGGGAGTAGCCGTCACGCGTAGCGTGAAAGCTTTGGTCATCTTCATCATCCAACATATTCATGTTGGATGGGAATGTGGTCCTTGGACGGACTACGAAGTGCTACCAGGTGTAACGGGTCACCCTGAAGCTTGTACTGATGACAGTACAAGCTACTTATTCTGATGACAGAATAAGGCGGTGCCTCGTAACTTCACGTACACTCGTACGTGCAGAGGAAGACGGTAAGAAGAAGCGAGTAGTTAGTTTAAGTAAAAAGTAGAACTGTATTTATAATAGTTAATGTCTGCAATAAATCACTATTTATCTTCATCTAACTATGTCTAAATACAAATGTGTAAATCAGTTATCTGCTCACCACTCATTGCGTGCGTCTGTCGTGGCGCGTCTTCGTTGGTTGATATAATGGCCTATATCAACCAATTAGAACTACTTGTAAGTGCTACAGAATATTTGTCCTTATGACAATATTCTGAGAATATAACTCTTATAGTTATATTCTATTAACAATTTCTTATAAATTGTTATGTAACGATTCACCCCGTTACATCACCCCCCCCTTAACCATCAGTCACTTTAGTGACTGATTGACTAAATGGATATTCGTCCCAAATCATTTGGGACGGGGTTTGCACTTGTTGGTCCGCGTCCACTTTCCAACATCTCATCGCATGATAAACAAGCCCATGCGATGCGCGAGCAAGGCCGCCGAGAGCGCGTCTGCACGTCTCTGTGCGGACGCCGAAGCAGAAACAACAGCAACTGATGTCCCATCGGTTGCTGAAGAGACCCAGCCTGTGTCACTTGGTGACGCAGGCGCTGGTCATGAAGACACTCGTGTCTTCACAGAGTACGAGCTCGGTGTCTCGTACTCTCCTGATACGGATGAAGGATCCGTATCGACGGCGATTGAATCTAAGCCGCCTGCCAAGCGTGGCATGGACGATGCTTTGCGTCGCAGCATCTTTGGTTCATCTGATGAGTCAGATGAACCATCGCCGAAGCGAAGGCGCTCGAGGTCGCGAGACTCGGGCGCTAATAGTGGTGTCGGTTCTCCTATGGACACCACTTCACAGCGAGGTGCCAGTACTTCTGTCGGCACGTCGCAGGAAGAGCGGGACCGCAATGTGTTGCGTCTCGCTCCAGAAAAGAAGGCATGGATGCCTCCTAAATCCGTCATGGATCACTTGTCGGCGACGACGAGTGATCGTTATCGAACACGATTGTTCGATTCGTCAAGGATCCATCACCTTGACCCCAGCGCGAAAGACTATCGCGCTGAACATGAGTTCTTCATCGATGCTTTCTTCAGACATCGATGGTACAGTGGGAATCACAAACGTGATGGTCCCTCACTACTTCAGGCGTGGAACGCCTACATCCATAATCTCGAGGATGTAGGTCGTGACGCTTGGAACGACAAACTTATCAAAGCTCGTGATAAGTTTGAAAAGCGAACCCCGACAGGTGCACGCTACAAGCTGCATCGTCTGTCAAGGGAGAAAGGATTACCCTGCCTCTCTTGGGGAGACTCGTGCCCATGTTGTGTGAACAACTCTGCACGAGCACCTAAGGAGGCTTACCTCCTTACTAGTCCGTGGTGGCGCGTACGTGTCTCTACTGAGATGTACGAAGGGATTGACAATCTGAAATCCCTTTACGACCGTGCCGGGAAGACTTTCTCCGGCGGTCCTTCTGCGGCACAGGATGTGTCGCGTCGTACTGCTCGACCAGACCCAGTACGTCGACCATCAGTTGGGAGCGGGGCTCCCAAGAATCCCAGGACGGGGGATAGCCGCGCCACCGGACGAGGTAACTCGTCCGACGTCCGTTCACGTCGCGGTGGTTCAACAGCTGCTCTACTAGATAGCGCTGGCCACCGCGAGAGTCCTCTAATGGAGGTGGAGGAGGAGGAAAGACGCTCTCCACACGATCATGTGGATCGGTGTGTTCCCGAGAGCTTCTTTGATCGCGTAACGCAAGGGTTACGCGACGATCTCGAGCATGAGCGGAATAGGCGTCTCCAGATGGTGGACACTGCCTCGAAGCATCGAGCTGAGTTTGCCTTTGCTCAGCTTGAGAACGAGAGATCTCTGACATCTCTTCGTGACGAGCTAAGGGTAGCTCGTGGGATTGTTGATCGGTCTCGGGCTGAGATAACTGCTCTTCAGACCCTTGTTGATGCCCACCATCGGGAGCACAAGGCTCTCTGTGAGATGCTTGAGCGCAAGGGCGTTCTTCATCGGAAGAAGCAGCGTACTGATGGTACGGCTTAAGCCGACCAACGTAAAACGTGGGATGCGTTCGCATCTTACGTGGTAACTCGATCGTGTATGCATTGCCTAGGCGGTGCAATACACGAAATGGGCCAATGTACTTGGGTAGTAGTTTACTGCTACCCAAGTTAGTCACTACATGTTTTGGTAGATTAACCGTAGACAGTAGGACTAAGTCACCTTTATTAAATAAAAGAGTGTTTGCCCTTCCATTCTTGTCAGCGTTTTGCTTTTGCTTATCCACCGCTTCGGCGATGGAGTCTTGCACAAAACGGACTACCGTTTCACGAGCCAGTATGAACTCATCTGATGACTCGTTAGCTTCAGTGTGCTGTGAGCGCACTGCAGCGACAACAACCTTTTCTTCAGTGAGGGCTTCCGCACTCTCACTGGCATCATTGTCTTCAGTGAGGGCTTCCGCACTCTCACTGGCATCATCTTCTTCGATATCGATGTTATCGATATCGGCATCAAACGCAATGACTTCTTCGTCAGAGCGTGATGAGCGTGAACCAAATCGGTTTTTGCTCGCGCGAGTCCCTCCCCCCTTAAACCAGAGTTACACTCTAGTAAGGTGGGTACACGCGGATGGCGCAAGCCATTCACGTAAAACGGTGTATGTGTCGTGGACGCATGCACCGAGTTGTTGATGGCAAACTCTAACATCGGCAAAAACTCACTCCAACTCTTAAAGGAGTGTACGTATCCTCGAAGTATCTCTTCAAGGACACGATTGGCACGTTCCGTCTGACCATCTGACTCTGGATGATCAGATGTTGACATCTTCAAGCGCGTTCCGAGTGATTTGAACACGGAACGCCAGAAATCAGCAGTGAATCGTGGATCTCTGTCTGATACGAGTTCACGGGGCAACCCATGAAGTCGGAAGATGGTGTCAATAAAGACACAAGCACAGCCACTTGCCGTGATTGTCTCTGGTACAGCCACAAGGTGTACCATTTTGCTGAATCTGTCAACAAATACGAGAATACCCGTATTCCCGCGTGCGTCTTTGGGTAACCCGAAGACGAAATCCATTGAGATGGATTCCCAGCACTCAGCCGGAACCGGTAGAGGCTGTAAAGGTGCACGCAGTGAAGGACTTGACTTCACTCGTTGGCAGACTTCGCATGCGCGAACATACTTTCGCACAAACTGATACTGGCGGGGCCAGTAAAAGTCTCGACTTACCGTGAGATATGTTTTCTCTCGGCCACGATGTCCTCCTATAGGAGCATCGTGATACTCGAACATGATCCGCAAACGCAGATCAGTATCATCTGGAATGACAACACGTGGTGTGTCACCAGAAACGGCTGTATAATACAGTAAACCGTTACATGTAGTGTATCGATCTGATGCAGATCGATACGCAGACGACAATCGTTTCAACGATTCTCGAGATGGTTGGGAGAGATGTGTCAACAACTTCACTATCTCACCATCTTGGGCGTATGCCCGCCTCACATCATCATACAACGTTGTAGATGGGACTGAGGACGTCATAACCGCAACAGTGACTGTCTCACTGTTGGGTTTCGCGACTGTTTCAAAGTCGGGACGACGTGAGAGTGCATCAGCAACGACATTAAGTCGTCCTGGTTTGTACTCGACCGTAAAGTTGTATTCCGCAAAGAATGACAACCACCGCGCCATTCGTTGTGAAAGGTGCGGGCTGTTCACTGCCGTGCGTAATGACGCATGGTCAGTGTAAACAACGAAGGGTCTATCTCCTAATAGATAGACTCTGAACTTCGCGAGTGCATACTTCATGGCAAGGAGTTCCTTGTCATGCACTGGATAGTTCCGCTCAGCTGGTTGCAGCTGACGCGACTGATAGCAGACGACGCGTTCAACGCCTTCAAGATCGTACTGCATTAGTGCACAGCCGATTGCGAAATCGCTGGCATCACAGACCACATGAAATGGCCTGTCCTGATCGGCTATTGCTAGGACTGGGGATTGTATCAAGCTCTGCTTGATACCCTCAAAGGAGCGTTGACATTCAGCGTTCCATAACCACCTCTCGTTCTTTTTCAACAAACGAGAGAGGTGCACAGTCATCTCGGCGTAATTGCGTGAATATTTATGCAAATACGCCGCTAGCCCAAGGAATTTTCGAAGACCTTTGACATCGACCGGCACAGGCCAGTCGGTGATCGCCTTGATCTTTTCGGGATCAGGACGTACACCGTTCTTACCAACGATGCACCCAAGAAGTGGTATTTCGCTTGCTGCAAATATACACTTCTTGAGGTTTGCATACAATTGATGCTTTCGCATGATTGTAAGAACTTGTCGGACGTGGTACTTGTGAACCTCAACGTCCGACTTTCCATCCATAGCTCGACTATGGATGAATACGTCATCGAAATAACTCGGCGCGAATTCTCGTACTGGCCTCAACAGATGTGATACACACCTGTTGAACGTGGCAGGGGCATTACTGAGCCCTTGTGGCATTACTAGCCATTCCCAGAGCATGCCGCTAGGCGTGCTAACTGCGGTATAGGGTATATCCCGTTCCCGCATTAGGATTTGATAGAAGCCATCCATCAAATCCATGGACGAAAAGATGGTACTCTTTGACATACCATCAATGATTACGTCCTTCCTCGGTATCGGCGTCTGAGCCGGTACCGTTGCAGCGTTCAATTTGTTAAACGCGTGCACTATCCGCCACCCTCCTGTTGCTTTTCGCACACAGAAGGTCGGAGAGCTATGTGGGGAAGTTGATTCCCTCACATGGCCCGCTGCTAAACGATCGGCAAAGAACTTGTCGATCGCAAGTACTTGTTCACGAGGCAGTGGCCACTGCTTCATGACACAGTACTTCGAGCCTGGTTTAAGCTCGACTTCGTGTCGAATACCTTTATCCTTCGGTAATTCGCACGGAACAGTTTCAGGGAATACATCCTTGAATTCAACCAAATCCTCATAGAGAGGGTTTTCCTTGAGCGATTCCTATGATTGGGACTCATATCGCTCAATTCGTGTCTTTTCATCTAGGACACTCTCGTCCATAGATGAACTACTGAGAACTCTCTCGTTCTCAGTAAACACTGTTGCTGACCTTATGTCGGTTACACACTCGTCGTCAGCGACGAGTATGCAGATCTGCTTGACTTTGCCACTACGCAGATCACGCAAGAACCTTTTATGTTCGAGCGTTGGCAACTGAGTGATCTCCGAAGTTAACTTCGGAGGCGCAATCAGATCAAGTGTATAAGCGCCTACACATGATCCGTTATTGACTATGACATTCAATGTCTCTGTCATTTCCTGGGGACTTATTCCCTCAGGCTTCGAAGGACTTATTCCTTCGTCTTCCCGGGGACTTATTCCCGCGGGTTTCGGGGAACTTATTTCCGCCGTATTTGTAATCTTGGGACTTATTCCCTTTACTTCCTCTAGCTGGGGTTGCGCAACCACAGCGAGATCCTCTACGAAAGACTCTCCAGTCGATCTAGGATTATCGTTTCGCTTAACCTGAGCGATCGATTGTTTCTCTTCTAGATGTTCCCCTCTAGGGATACATCTTTGTCCCAGTCCACCCGACTTATTCGAGTGGTGGACCTTCGGCGCAGCCTGTGTTTCCTCACAGCCGCCGGAACTTTGCTTCGAAGTGTAACCGTTTGGTACACTAAGGTTTTGTGCAGTCGTACTAACGACCGTACCACAAGTGAGGCCATCGCACTCACTCGTAGTACATCCACACGCTTGTGGACGCTCCAAAACGTTCATCAGATGGCCATCTGATGAACAAGCGGCAGGCATCGTTACTGTCCGATGTTGCCAGTTTACCCGTGGTTCGTACCTTCTGAGCCACGGTATTCCAAGGATGACATCAAATTTGTCATCCAAATCCAATACGATAAAGTCATCGTCGTATTGGGTATCTTCTAGCGTATAGTGAATCTTCACTATACGCTTCATGACGGTTACGGATGCGCCTGTCGCAAGACGTACCGTCATCCTCGCAGGAGGTTTGTCACATTCACTGAATTTAAAGTGACCATCTTCTAGCGATTGGCGTCGCACAAAATTGTTGGACGCCCCACAATCGACTAGAGCTCGAAGGGACAACTTATTCGTCACTTCGAGTTTCAAGGTAATGAGTGAGATCTCATTACCTAGAGCAGCAACGCACAATGTCTGTGTGTTGGGAGCAACCTTCATCAAGAGGCCTACAAATTCTCTTGACGTTGCTGGATCAGTAGGGTGCTCCGCACCTACTGATCCTGTCCGTTTTTTGACGGTCCATCCCGTTGTTGCGTCTTTGCACCAACTGCGGACCCTCGTCCCTGCCCCTTTCTCATGGGTGGACGGTCACTACGCCCAGTGTCGCGAGACACTGGACGAGGGGCACTACACTCGTAAGCGTAGTGTCCTGTCTTTTGACATCTGTTGCATCTCTGCAACTTCTTGTAGCCTGTAGAGCGAGCCTTCTCGCTCTCTACATAACAAGAGTTCCATCGGCTCTGGACCTCCGTTGTCATATCGTCTCGGTTGACGATATGATGTCGAGCTGGCGCGAGCCTGTCTCAGACTGAAGTCTTCCTGCTCCGCAATTGAAATGGCTTGTTCTAGTGAATCTAGTTCAAGCCGGAACAGGTGAGTCTTGACGGGACCATCCGCAAGACCCTGCATGAACACCGAAACCAACGTGTGTTCATCCACCGGATTGGAACTTATACAACTCGTGAGATGTCGTATATGTTGAGCGTAAGCGTGCACATCACGCTTACCCTGCTTGAGCTTCAAGAGTTCGGTTCGAGCTCTGAACTCAGCTCTAGGCGGTTCAAACGTTTGTCTGAGCCGCGACTTGAAGACTTCCAACGACCCAAACGCATATGGGTCGTGCAGCTTGAGCCCCAGTGCCCAAGTCTTGGCACGTCCTGCCAGATTTGATTGGGCAAATGCAACTTGCATATCCCCGTCGTCGATGCGACGCGCCCTTATAGCGTCGTCCAATTCGACGAACCATCTCAAGAGGGAGTCTTCTTCGACCCCTCTATACTTTGAGATGTCAATCTTCAAAGTCTCGGGCCGACGCGAGTGCATCGACCCGCCAGCAGCAGCCTGCTGCTGTCTCAACAGTTCAAACTGTTGAGCACCTTGTTCTCTCAACAACTCTGCTTGTTGAGAACCTTGTTGGTGAAGCAAGGCTACTTTTCTCGCGTTCTGCGTCAAGTTCATTTTGAATGAACTTGGCGATAGTAGCATGTTGGGCATCTCTATTGAGAGCCTCTAGCATGACGCTAACAGCATGGATGCCCATGGTCGAACCCATTCGTTCAACCGCATCCCATTCGACATCGCTCAAATGGGAGTAGCCGTCACGCGTAGCGTGAAAGCTTTGGTCATCTTCATCATCCAACATATTCATGTTGGATGTGAACGCGTCCTTGGACGGACTACGAAGTGCTACCAGGTGTAACGGGGCACCCTGAAGCTTGTACTGGTGACAGTACAAGCTACTTATTCTGATAACAGAATAAGGGCGGTGCCTCGTAACTTCACGTACACTCGTACGTGCAGAGGAAGACGGTAAGAAGAAGCGAGTACTCGGTTAGAGTAAAAAGTAGAACTGTATTTATAATAGTTAATGTCTGCAATAAATCACTATTTATCTTCATCTAACTATGTCTAAATACAAATGTGTAGATCAATTATCTGCTCACCACTCATTGCGTACGTCTGTCGTGGCCCGTCTTCGTTGGTTGATATAATGGCCTATATCAACCAATTAGGAACTACTTGTAAGTGCTACAGAATATTTGTCCTTATGACAATATTCTGAGAATATAACTCTTATAGTTATATTCTATTAACAATTTCTTATAAATTGTTATGTAACGATTCACCCCGTTACAAGAGTGCTAAACAGGCTGCGTAACATTCTGATCACGTTCGATCCACGTCTGCGATAGTGAAAATGCTTGGCATGTCAAAAGTTGACGCAGACGTGAGCGTGCATATCTCACCAAAAAAGACCAACCAAAAGTAGGGAAACGATGCCAAGCATTTAGCCACTACCGAACAGCTCACGTATCGATCAAGCGACAAAACCGCTGGACAGCTATCACATCCGTAGCAGAATTTCGCAACGATGACCACGACCATGATATTTTCCAAAACTATCGTAATAAACCACGTACACCTTAGCAAGTGTCACGTGAGCCACAATCATGTAATCGGACCATTATTCATGCGGGTACTCTGCAATGGAAACAAGTCCTTCGCCTCTCGTGTGGTATCAGAAGTAGAACAATATCTAAATATGCATTAGAAGGACTATGGGATGTCAGCCGATTTTGCTGCAAAATGACGATCTCCAACACTACTCATTCGGGAGCCCTCTCCGGAACAAAGTCAAGGCGATACACTTGCGACTCTCTCGGTGTCTCGATACGAACTTTCTCCGGTCAGAATTCGAGTTTGGGGATCTAATGTTAGAGCTGCAACAAGGATGGATGCTTCTGCGAGTCAAGCTGGCTAGATAGTTTTGCAGCTAAAGAAAAGAAACCATGCTGCACCTGAGTGATTATGATAGTAGTTTCAAACGTTCTTCGAGATGACACAACGTGTAAGAAGTAATAGAAATAACATCCGTTTTCAATATTGAAGTTGCTAGTGTGTTATTAGTTGGACGCTTTCTCGGTCCATTCATTCAAACCGTCATGGCCTTGTGTTTGATCGGTGTAACGGGGTGAATCGTTACATAACAATTTATAAGAAATTGTTAATAGAATATAACTATAAGAGTTATATTCTCAGAATATTGTCATAAGAACAATATTCTGTAGCACTTCCAAGTAGTTCCTAATTGGTTGATATAGGCCATTATATCAACCAACGAAGACGCGCCACGACAGACGCACGCAATGAGTGGTGAGCAGATAACTGATTTACACATTTGTATTTAGACATAGTTAGATGAAGATAAATAGTGATTTATTGCAGACATTAACTATTATAAATACAGTTCTACTTTTTACTCTAACCGAGTACTCGCTTCTTCTTACCGTCTTCCTCTGCACGTACGAGTGTACGTGAAGTTACGAGGCACCGCCTTATTCTGTTATCAGAATAAGTAGCTTGTACTGTCACCAGTACAAGCTTCAGGGTGCCCCGTTACACCTGGTAGCACTTCGTAGTCCGTCCAAGGACCGCGTTCACATCCAACATGAATATGTTGGATGATGAAGATGACCAAAGCTTTCACGCTACGCGTGACGGCTACTCCCATTTGAGCGATGTCGAATGGGATGCGGTTGAACGAATGGGTTCGACCATGGGCATCCATGCTGTTAGCGTCATGCTAGAGGCTCTCAATAGAGATGCCCAACATGCTACTATCGCCAAGTTCATTCAAAATGAACTTGACGCAGAACGCGAGAAAGTAGCCTTGCTTCACCAACAAGGTTCTCAACAAGCAGAGTTGTTGAGAGAACAAGGTGCTCAACAGTTTGAACTGTTGAGACAGCAGCAAGCTGCTGCTGGCGGGTCGATGCACTCGCGTCGACCCGAGACTTTGAAGATTGACATCTCAAAGTATAGGGGGTCGAAGAAGACTCCCTCTTGAGATGGTTCGTCGAATTGGATGACGCCATAAGGGCGCGTCGCATCGACGACGGGGATATGCAAGTTGCATTTGCCCAGTCAAATCTGGCAGGACGTGCCAAGACTTGGGCACTGGGGCTCAAGCTGCACGACCCATACGCGTTTGGGTCGTTGGAAGTCTTCAAGTCGCGGCTCAGACAAACGTTTGAACCGCCTAGAGCTGAGTTCAGAGCTCGAACCGAACTCTTGAAGCTCAAGCAGGGTAAGCGTGATGTGCACGCTTACGCTCAACATATACGACATCTCACGAGTTGTATAAGTTCCAATCCGGTGGATGAACACACGTTGGTTTCGGTGTTCATGCAGGGTCTTGCGGATGGTCCCGTCAAGACTCACCTGTTCCGGCTTGAACTAGATTCACTAGAACAAGCCATTTCAATTGCGGAGCAGGAAGACTTCAGTCTGAGACAGGCTCGCGCCAGCTCGACATCATATCGTCAACCGAGACGATATGACAACGGAGGTCCAGAGCCGATGGAACTCTGTTATGTAGAGAGCGAGAAGGCTCGCTCTACAGGCTACAAGAAGTTGCAGAGATGCAACAGATGTCAAAAGACAGGACACTACGCTTACGAGTGTAGTGCCCCTCGTCCAGTGTCTCGCGACACTGGGCGTAGTGACCGTCCACCCATGAGAAAGGGGCAGGGACGAGGGTCCGCAGTTGGTGCAAAGACGCAACAACGGGATGGACCGTCAAAAAACGGACAGGATCAGTAGGTGCGGGCACCCTACTGATCCAGCAACGTCAAGAGAATTTGTAGGCCTCTTGATGAAGGTTGCTCCCAACACACAGACATTGTGCGTTGCTGCTCTAGGTAATGAGATCTCACTCATTACCTTGAAACTCGAAGTGACGAATAAGTTGTCCCTTCGAGCTCTAGTCGATTGTGGGGCGTCCAACAATTTTGTGCGACGCCAATCGCTAGAAGATGGTCACTTTAAATTCAGTGAATGTGACACACCTCCTACGAGGATGACGGTACGTCTTGCGACAGGCGCATCCGTAACCAATATGAAGCGTATAGTGAAGATTCACTATACGCTAGAAGATACCCAATACGACGATGACTTTATCGTATTGGATTTGGATGACAAATTTGATGTCATCCTTGGAATACCGTGGCTCAGAAGGTACGAACCACGAGTAAACTGGCAACATCGGACAGTAACGATGCCTGCCGCTTGTTCATCAGATGGCCATCTGATGAACGTTTTGGAGCGTCCACAAGCGTGTGGATGTACTACGAGTGAGTGCGATGGCCTCACTTGTGGTACGGTCGTTAGTACGACTGCACAAAACCTTAGTGTACCAAACGGTTACACTTCGGAGCAAAGTTCCGGCGGCTGTGAGGAAACACAGGCTGCGCCGAAGGTCCACCACTCGAATAAGTCAAGTGGACTGGGACAAAGATGTATCCCTAGAGGGGAACATCTAGAAGAGAGAAAACATATCTCACGGTAAGTCGAGACTTTTACTGGCCCCGCCAGTATCAGTTTGTGCGAAAGTATGTTCGCGCATGCGAAGTCTGCCAACGAGTGAAGTCAAGTCCTTCACTGCGTGCACCTTTACAGCCTCTACCGGTTCCGGCTGAGTGCTGGGAATCCATCTCAATGGATTTCGTCTTCGGGTTACCCAAAGACGCACGCGGGAATACGGGTATTCTCGTATTTGTTGACAGATTCAGCAAAATGGTACACCTTGTGGCTGTACCAGAGACAATCACGGCAAGTGGCTGTGCTTGTGTCTTTATTGACACCATCTTCCGACTTCATGGGTTGCCCCGTGAACTCGTATCAGACAGAGATCCACGATTCACTGCTGATTTCTGGCGTTCCGTGTTCAAATCACTCGGAACGCGCTTGAAGATGTCAACATCTGATCATCCAGAGTCGGATGGTCAGACGGAACGTGCCAATCGTGTCCTTGAAGAGATACTTCGAGGATACGTACACTCCTTTAAGAGTTGGAGTGAGTTCTTGCCAATGGTAGCGTTTGCCATAAACAACTCGGTGCATGCGTCCACGACACATACACCGTTTTACGTGAATGGCTTACGCCATCCGCTTGTACCCACCTTACTAGAGTGTAACTCTGGTTTAAGGGGGGGAGGGACTCGCGCGAGCAAAAACCGATTTGGTTCACGCTCATCACGCTCTGACGAAGAAGTCATTGCGTTTGATGCCGATATCGATAACATCGATATCGAAGAAGATGATGCCAGTGAGAGTGCGGAAGCCCTCACTGAAGACAATGATGCCAGTGAGAGTGCGGAAGCCCTCACTGAAGAAAAGGTTGTTGTTGCTGCAGTGCGCTCACAGCACACTGAAGCTAACGAGTCATCAGATGAGTTCATACTGGCTCGTGAAACGGTAGTCCGTTTTGTGCAAGACTCCATCGCCGAAGCGGTGGATAAGCAAAAGCAAAACGCTGACAAGAATGGAAGGGCAAACACTCTTTTATTTAATAAAGGTGACTTAGTCCTACTGTCTACGGTTAATCTACCAAAACATGTAGTGACTAACTTGGGTAGCAGTAAACTACTACCCAAGTACATTGGCCCATTTCGTGTATTGCACCGCCTAGGCAATGCATACACGATCGAGTTACCACGTAAGATGCGAACGCATCCCACGTTTTACGTTGGTCGGCTTAAGCCGTACCATCAGTACGCTGCTTCTTCCGATGAAGAACGCCCTTGCGCTCAAGCATCTCACAGAGAGCCTTGTGCTCCCGATGGTGGGCATCAACAAGGGTCTGAAGAGCAGTTATCTCAGCCCGAGACCGATCAACAATCCCACGAGCTACCCTTAGCTCGTCACGAAGAGATGTCAGAGATCTCTCGTTCTCAAGCTGAGCAAAGGCAAACTCAGCTCGATGCTTCGAGGCAGTGTCCACCATCTGGAGACGCCTATTCCGCTCATGCTCGAGATCGTCGCGTAACCCTTGCGTTACGCGATCAAAAAGCTCTCGGGAACACACCGATCCACATGATCGTGTGGAGAGCGTCTTTCCTCCTCCTCCACCTCCATTAGAGGACTCTCGCGGTGGCCAGCGCTATCTAGTAGAGCAGCTGTTGAACCACCGCGACGTGAACGGACGTCGGACGAGTTACCTCGTCCGGTGGCGCGGCTATCCCCCGTCCTGGGATTCTTGGGAGCCCCGCTCCCAACTGATGGTCGACGTACTGGGTCTGGTCGAGCAGTACGACGCGACACATCCTGTGCCGCAGAAGGACCGCCGGAGAAAGTCTTCCCGGCACGGTCGTAAAGGGATTTCAGATTGTCAATCCCTTCGTACATCTCAGTAGAGACACGTACGCGCCACCACGGACTAGTAAGGAGGTAAGCCTCCTTAGGTGCTCGTGCAGAGTTGTTCACACAACATGGGCACGAGTCTCCCCAAGAGAGGCAGGGTAATCCTTTCTCCCTTGACAGACGATGCAGCTTGTAGCGTGCACCTGTCGGGGTTCGCTTTTCAAACTTATCACGAGCTTTGATAAGTTTGTCGTTCCAAGCGTCACGACCTACATCCTCGAGATTATGGATGTAGGCGTTCCACGCCTGAAGTAGTGAGGGACCATCACGTTTGTGATTCCCACTGTACCATCGATGTCTGAAGAAAGCATCGATGAAGAACTCATGTTCAGCGCGATAGTCTTTCGCGCTGGGGTCAAGGTGATGGATCCTTGACGAATCGAACAATCGTGTTCGATAACGATCACTCGTCGTCGCCGACAAGTGATCCATGACGGATTTTGGAGGCATCCATGCCTTCTTTTCTGGAGCGAGACGCAACACATTGCGGTACCGCTCTTCCTGCGACGTGCCGACAGAAGTACTGGCACCTCGCTGTGAAGTGGTGTCCATAGGAGAACCGACACCACTATTAGCGCCCGAGTCTCGCGACCTCGAGCGCCTTCGCTTCGGCGATGGTTCATCTGACTCATCAGATGAACCAAAGATGCTGCGACGCAAAGCATCGTCCATGCCACGCTTGGCAGGCGGCTTAGATTCAATCGCCGTCGATACGGATCCTTCATCCGTATCAGGAGAGTACGAGACACCGAGCTCGTACTCTGTGAAGACACGAGTGTCTTCATGACCAGCGCCTGCGTCACCAAGTGACACAGGCTGGGTCTCTTCAGCAACCGATGGGACATCAGTTGCTGTTGTTTCTGCTTCGGCGTCCGCACAGAGACGTGCAGACGCGCTCTCGGCGGCCTTGCTCGCGCATCGCATGGGCTTGTTTACCATGCGATGAAATGTTGGGAAGTGGACTCAGACCAACAAGTGCAAACCCTGTCCCAAATGATTTGGGACGAGTATCCATTTAGTGAATCAGTCACTAAAGTGACTGATGGTTAAGGGGGGTGATGTAACGGGGTGAATCGTTACATAACAATTTATAAGAAATTGTTAATAGAATATAACTATAAGAGTTATATTCTCAGAATATTGTCATAAGGACAAATATTCTGTAGCACTTACAAGTAGTTCCTAATTGGTTGATATAGGCCATTATATCAACCAACGAAGACGGGCCACGACAGACGTACGCAATGAGTGGTGAGCAGATAATTGATCTACACATTTGTATTTAGACATAGTTAGATGAAGATAAATAGTGATTTATTGCAGACATTAACTATTATAAATACAGTTCTACTTTTTACTCTAACCGAGTACTCGCTTCTTCTTACCGTCTTCCTCTGCACGTACGAGTGTACGTGAAGTTACGAGGCACCGCCTTATTCTGTTATCAGAATAAGTAGCTTGTACTGTCACCAGTACAAGCTTCAGGGTGCCCCGTTACAACTCTGGTCTATTTGTCTGACCGCACACGTGCTGAAATATACAATGATCAAGAACCGGCACGTAGATCAAAAACGCTGACCTGCCGACATTGTTCGTAGCGTTGTTCGTAGCGTTGTTTGGATGTAATATAGTGTGGTCCTGCCGACTCTATCCGGCCATGCAAGACTCGCTTATGACGATTCGGCTAGATCGTGGTGGTCGCACGATACGCCAACTTCACTACTGCTGATAGCATCGTCGCGTCTCAGCTACCCGTATCCTCTCTTAACATGGCACCTAATGGTAATGAAATGGCCCCAATTAAGAAACTCCCAACGTCAAGAATGTGCTGCTAAAGGCATCAAATGATACACCAGGGTGACGATTCTGCTTTGTGCATAGGTTTGTTTGTGTGGTTTAGATTGCTCAATTGTCTGTACTTGATAGAAGCGAGTAGGAAAACAGATAAGTGTGAGCATGTGCGGGTATTGTTATGGTGTGATGAACGTGCTTGTTCCTTTATTTTGCCTACAAGCGCGTAATGTGCGTGTAATCATAGTCGTAAACTTGGCAAAGGACCCTTCACTCTTCTGACAGTGCTTGTTGTACGCTGCTCATCTGGCGTGCACATGTTCCAATTACAGGAACACAGCACAGACGATAGTCGTTGTTGCGACTCTTCAGCGAATCGACTCCACATTTGTACCCGTTGCTTGACAACCGAGGACGCAGGTTCCGTTGATAAAGTCAGCAGAAGTGTTGCCAACTGCGATCGGTACTAGAAAACGAACTCGTGTCATGAGAAAATGGGCGTTCCGAAACTTTTGACCTGAGCTCAAGCGCATCCGGAGTGTACCCTTTTCGCTGCGGTCACGTCCGTTGTCTCCGTGCCGATAGTAGCCGCTGCCAAGACTTGCTGGACGACTAAAATGAGATTGAGACAAACGGTGGTTGCATGCTGTGACAGGACGTCGGCTGCGCGCATCCACTCTGGGCTTTGACGTAGCAGGTAGCATACAAGCACGCACACGAATCATGGTTTCCATTTTGTACAATTTCTTCAATTTGTACTTGACGACAATCGAGTCCACTCCAACAATGTGCACTTCCGACAACATAGCGCGTAGTGCGAAGTGAAAGGCTAGAGCTCCTGCAGGCTCGAGCAGTGTCGGCTTTCAAGGGTGGCCTCCAGCAGACGCATTTTTTATGGCGGGGTCAAAATTGATCCAGATCACTTTTTATCTACGTTTTCGCTACTACATCTCTTTGTTCCTGTTAGCTGTCGATTTCAAGCATCGATTGGTGTCAATCGTTCGCGTACATTGTGTCAAACAGCAATTCCAGAAATATCTGTTGACATGTGGTCATGACAGACTCGGCGTCGTTTTAATGTCAGCCACGTCCCCTTCTTTCTCGATACTACGTGACTGCTTCGAACAGGTTCGGGGTACTAGTTGGACCTGCATCCCGGATCAGAGCATTGAGCTTGGAGCTTGACCTGAGGCGGAGATTGATGCCTGACACACTCGCGAAGGGTCACTGGAGAAGCGCTTGAGAAGATGGCATTCGACTTGAATCGGAAATGCACTTGAATGATGGCGCTTGACGTGTTGTCAGTCACACGGAATAGTCGGGCGCTATCGATGCGTAATAAACTAGCGCATCTATGGCACACGTAATTCGCTGCGGCAGCCAGCGCGGCTAGTTGGCCAGTCATGCATCACGCACCTACTCCTCTAGAGAGGTGGATATCGGAAAACTGGACCTTACAGCAAACATCCCATGCCTCTATACGTGCCGCAACATTTATCGAGTCAAGTGACTGGGTTTATCACAACCGCGTCTTCCATCCTCCGAATCTACCGATATTAATCGCTGTGTAGCCACTCTGGCAACGCTGTGAAATAGAACATCGCGTGCGCATGTATAGATCAAAAATAAAACCGCCAAAAACTATGTAGTCAGCCTCAAACGCGCTCGTGTCACTCGTGACCGGGTCAGCACCTTTCAATACTGCTTGCTCCTTCGGATATCACGTGTTAAAGGCCGTTATCCCGTCTACGCCAGTCAATGTGAGCCGACTGACCGGGGTCGAGTGTGATATAAACAGCGCGAACAGACAGCAGCCAATCAGCGCACCCCGTCTCCCCTACTGCGGGAGATTCATCCGCAGCTAACGTCCTGGCACTTAATTCCTTCGACACGGCCGCCAAGTATTGCGACATGTGTAGTCCAGTGACCAGCCGGAGTTGCGCCAAAGACGGGACCGCCGCTTGGGCAAAGAAGAACCTCGGCCTCACTATTGAGCAGAGCCGCTCCGTTTTCTCTAAAGAGAGAGAGGGGGGGGGGCGAGGTCGTTTTTATTTACCAATAGAGAGAGACCAGCACGACCATGTCCCTCTTCTCTGCCATGGCCGACGAGGGCAGCGTGTGGGCGCAGGGCTCGTCGCTCTTCAACGTCTCGAGTCCGCTCAACGACCTGCTGGAGAAAGACGAGTTCACGCTGGAGCAAGTGCTGCAGGAGGACGAGCTCGTGCAGGAGGTCAAGACGCGCAATACGAAGCTGATTGAGTTGTACGACCCGTTCCGCGTTCTGATTTGTCAAAATTGAAAAAAGGAAGGATCCAGGGTTGTGGCAGTACCCCTAACCACTTGTGTGTGTGTTTTTGGTTTGTGTGGGTGTTCTATTTCTGGGCGTGTTCTATTTTTGGATGGGTCGTTTTTGCATGCTGTTGTTTGTATGCAGCCTCTCGCAGGAGCTGATCGTCCAGCGTCTCGTGGAATTCGTCGTGTGTTCGCCCGAGGACAAGTCGGACGACGTGCGGACGCTCAAGTTCCCCTACATGTCGTGCGAAGTCATTTGCTGCGACATTTCGAGCATCACCGAGACGCTCGTGACGGCGTCGGACGGTAATATCGTCGAGACGCTGTTTGAGTTTCTGTACGAGACGGACGAGCTGCTGGATCCGCGACTTGCTGGGTACTTTGAGAAGATCGTGACGATGCTCATGGTCCGTAAACCGCAGGAAATGACGGCGCTGCTGAATAAGAACTCGGACAAGTTGCTGGCCGGGTTTGCGCGTCACGCAGCGAGCTTTTCCGTCTCGGAGCTGCTCAAACGGCTGTTGCAGCCGGACCATAGTGACTATATGGACGACTGTATGGATTTCCCAGGCATGTCAATGGGGTTTGCGCCCTCGAATTCGTGGTACGGAGGAGAGGACGAAGACGCACAGAGTGCAGGTGGGACGCCCACGGAGTCAACGAACAAGACGCTGACGTGGCAATTGGAACCAAAAGTGGTCGATCTGCTGCTGGATACGTTGGCAGACGCAAACGCTGATAGTGACGCGCATAAGCACGCGTCGGAAGTGTTGGTGGATATTATTCACTGCGGGACACGTGCCCAACGAACGGATCCGGCGTCGCCTGCGAGTTCGACTACACCCGTCTCGTTTGCGCTGTTGGAGCACTTGGAGACAAAGGAAGTGGCTGAAAAGTTAGTTGCGCTGGCCGTTCCTGCAGATGATGGTGTTGGCTCGTGCGTGTCATCGATGACAGGTGCCATTTCCGTGCTGAGTGCTCTCTTGTCGCGCGCAACGAACTCGCAGTACTGCGCCACAGACGAGGCACCGCCCGTAGTGATTTGCACTGTTGAACGACTGCCGCAGATTTGTGCGATTCTTAAGGCAGACGAAGCAGTTGCTGGAAGTATCCGTAATCAGCGTCATCAGGAAGTCCCGCGCTTGGGGCTGCGTCGACTGAAGATGGTGGGGCTTGTTGTTCTACTGATGCAATCCAAGTACCAGAAGGTGGACGTGGCACTGCTTGAGCATCACGCGATTGGAACTTGCTTGGACCTTTTTTTCAAATTCGAGTTGGTCAACATGCTCCACGCTGATGTTGAGAGTATGGTGATTGGCATCTTAGAAAGCGGTAGCCACAATTTGTTGGTAGGATTAGTGAAGGAAGCGCGTCTGCTACCGCGTATCGTTGAGGCGCATGAAAAGAACGGTGAAGCTACAGCAGTTGCGAAGGGTTTCTCGCTCGGATATGTAGGCCATCTCCACCGAATTTGCAACACGCTGACAACAATGCTGGACGATGTGCGTGGTAGCGCAAAAGACGAAGGATCGTTAAATGAGATGCGGCATGCTGACACGGTGCTTGAGCTTTTCGAAGAGGACGAAGTCACGTGGAAGAAGTGGGATGAACTGTCGAGCAAGGTGCTTGCCCCCATTTACGAGCGTGAGCGGCTGCCTCTGGGTGGTGCTACAGTTACTCAGGGAAGCGAAGACCCGTACTCGGGCATGGGCTTTAATCAGAACGACGAACTTTTGAACGCACAATTTGTCGAGATGCTAGGCGCCTCGGGCTTCGGCTCTGATCCAAATGGCTTTGATACGGACTTCGACGCTAAGGACACTGATACACCTATGCTACCAGAAATCATGAACGATAGCAGCAGTAGCGAGGAAGAAGACGAGGAAGAGCTTGCACGGCAGGAAAGTGTTCCTAAGGAAAGCCAGGGTGGTTCCGGTGCCGACAGATGGGCAAGCTGTGAGTCTAGCGGCAGCTGGGCCAAATTTGAGGGAACTTTCGAGGACATTCCGTATGAGCCCATTCCCGGTATGGAGAATGACGAATTTGACGATAACGAACCAGTACCTGCAATTGTAACTACGGCCGACCTGGCTGCAAACATCGCAGCCTCACGGTTGGCTGAAGCTGCGGCTGCTCCCGTTACGGAGGAAACGGCAACAGAAAATATACCGGCGGAGGCAACTGCGGAGATTACGGCCGATCTGGCTCCGAACATCGCAGCCCCGCCGTTGACTGAAGCCGCGGCTGCCCCTGTTACGGAGGAAGCAGCAACAGAGAAGGTGCCGGTAGTGGCAGATGCGGAGATTGTTGCAGTGGAAGGGTCTACGGAGGAAGCGGCAACAGAGAAGGTGCCGGTGGAGACAAATGCGGAGACTGTTGCATTGGCGGGGTCTGCAACTCCGGACGATACAGAGACGGAACCTCGGGCTACGGAGGAGGATGGCAATAGTGTGGAGGAAGCACCTAGTGCAGACGCAGCGGTAGATGCACCTTCAGGGGATGTTGCTGCACCGGAGGCGCAGGCGTGAATCGACATACAATAGATGATTCGCTCTTTGACGGGGTGTCGCCATGGGATGCAGCACCGCTTCAGTATCATGTAGTTTCCTATAAGTTTTGTTGATTCCTCCGCGCCTCGCGTCTTGCACATTCCCCTCGTAGTATACGTGTAAGCAACAACAGGAGTTTGATCAGCAGCATTAACGCATGTAGCCTTGAACAAGATGGCAGCCTCTTCCTTCTTCAGTTCATCGGACTCGGCCACTTCCTTCACCGTCTCCTACGCTCTTCAGAACACCGATACCGGCCACGCTTGAAGTCCCGGTCCGAACTTGAGCTGCAATTGCTTCGGTCAGAGCTGGAACTTTGCTGACGCCGGCGATTGTACGATGGTGACCTGCGTCGATTCCTCCGGTAACTTTCTGAGGAATCCGAACGGGAATGACGGCGACGACGACGGCGACGACGACGGCGACGACTTTTCGATCGAGATCTGCTGCTTGATCGGGATCTACTGCAACTGCTTTGACGTCGGTGTCGTGTTCGACTTCTTGATTGCGACTTGCACACATGGCGTGGCGAGACGGAGCTCCCATGTGGATCATCTCCATCTCGTTGTATGCTGGATGCAGCTGGATCTACTTCATTTTGCTTTCTTGTGTCGTTGCTGGAGGTTGACACAACTGCAGTAGGAAGGAGCAGCGGGGTCACTTGCACGACCTTGTTGGTTGCTACAGCACTTGTTGTGAATTGCTCGTGCTGAAGTTGGTTGACAGCTGCATCAGGTTCATTCGTGATAGCTGGTTGGACCGCAGGTAGCGGGGGTGGTGTGGATGAGCTCACGAACGCAGTTCTGGACGGCAGGGGCTGCAATGAAGCATCAGCCTCGAGTGATGACTTCATAAAACCTGAGCGGAACATCGTAGCCGACGAAGTGGCAGGTGCTGACGCCTTGACGAATCCGCGCATTCCAGCTGGCTTTCCTGTCGCTCGAGCATTCGTGTCACCTGCAAAGCCCAGTCCTCTGCGTTGATCACTCTTGCTCTTTCGGCAATTGTCATTCCAGCGCTCCAGCTCTACGGCATCTTCTGCATCATAAGCACCACCTTCGTCTACAGTACAAGTCTTGACAAGCTGTTGCTCGAAAGACGAGCTTTGCCAGCGTCCTGCATCTTTTCCGATAACGCCAACTGTATTTGCCCCTCGGCGAAAGCGCGCGTCTCGTTTAGCGAGAGCAAGTAGCTCCGGTGAGACTGCCTGTCGTGAAACATCCATGTTGTATACTAGTTGAGCTGCGAATTGAGCCTCGTTGCGAGTCACCAGCGTATATGCAGTGCCAGGTTCGAACCCTTCCAGCCCCATTCGTCCCGTACGGCCAATGCGATGCACATGAGTGTCGATAGTTTTGGCCACATCAAAGTTCACCACGTTTTTCACATCCTTGACATCCAGCCCACGGGCAGCGACATCAGTAGCGACAAGCACACGACAATCGCCCCGTTTGAACTTCGCTAACGCTTGCGCTCGCTCCTGTTGTGTTTTATCGCCGTGCAAACAGAGGGCAGGCGCTGCAGGAAAGACCGTGGCCAGATTCTTCGCCAGCTCTTCACAGCCGACCTTGCTTCCAGCAAAGATGAGCAAGCGGCCCTCATCAACCAACCCACGTATTCGCGACATCAACCACGGCCACTTGGCCCCATGTCCCGGCAGCACTACAGCAATCTGTCGAATGTCTTCATTGGCTTGACCAACCTGGCCAATTACCAGCTTTACTGGATTCGTCAGCACATCCAGCGCGAGCGCCTCCACCCTCCGGCGAAAAGTGGCTGAAAACATAAGCGTTTGACGATCGGGGCGTATTTGCCCCAGGATCGAGCGTAGCTGCGGCTCGAATCCCATTTCGAACATGCGATCGGCTTCATCCAGAACCACAAACGTGACGCGAGTCATTGGCGCGGTCTTTTTCCGAATCATTTCAATCAGTCTCCCAGGCGTCGCGACAACGACCTCAGCCCCTTTCTTCAATGCTAGCACCTGCTCCCACTTGCCAGCTCCACCGCAGATTGCGGCACACGAAGCCCCGTACACTGCCAGAAACTTCTTTGCCTGTACATACGTCTGATGGGCAAGTTCCCTCGTCGGTGCCAACACCACTGCAATAGGTCCTTTTTCCCCTTTCAGAAGCTCCCTTTGAGCCATCACGTGGCGAACCATAGGAAGCGTAAACGCCAACGTTTTGCCCGACCCGGTCTTGGCGATTCCAATCAGATCCCTCCCTGACAAAGCCACTGGAACAGCTTGCGCCTGAATCGCCGTCGGCGCTTCCAGTTCGAGTTTCATGAGCGTCTGCAGCAGCTTACGGTCGAAACCAAGATGCACGAACGACCTCACGGGCGCTGGCGCGTCAAGGCCGTGCACTGTTACGCCCAGGTCCACTCGAACGTCAGCCACCTGCTGCTCGCTCAGAGCTGCCGTGTCTCGATGTGGCGTATAAAACGCTTTCCGAAACGGTTCATACTGGACCAGAGCATGATCGACTGGCGTCAAGACCTCCATGACCTTCTTGTCCATGAGATCCAGAGCCCCCTCTCCATTGTCCTCGTGTGCTGCAGCTGCAGCATAAACTTCTTCGTCCGAGTCCACGTTTAAATCCCCTCGGGCTTTCTTAAGACCCTAAAAAATAGCGCAAACCAACCAATCAAACCAATCAAACGCATATCAAACGTTAAAAACGCCATTGCTGCGCGAAAAAAACACAGCGACCACAGCTGCTGCTAGGCAACGCAGAAACGACACACGAGTAGCAGCATCAGACCCGTGCGTCTTCCTCGAGGTAGCTGTGTGTGTCCTCGACCTCGTGCTTGAGCACCGGTGGCTTGACAGCTGTGCGTGTCGACGGCGCCGCTTGTTCTTTTGTCACTTGGTCGTTAATGCCCTGCATAAAAGCGTCCAGTGGATCCACTTCGTCGTCGCCCACCCCAACAGCAGCAGACGCAGCTGCTTCGCGCTCGTCTCCACTCTCTTCTGCGTCAAAGTAATCGGCAGCTGGGGCCTTGCGTCGCACGCCACGGAGATACTCGCTCTGCAGCTCCTGCATCCTGACGTAAAAAACGCTCTGGTGGTGGTGGAATTGGTCTGGTTTGATTCAAAAAGACGCAAGTGAACAAAACGGGTGACTGAAAGAAACGGTCGTTTCGGACGTTTGAGTAATTGTGTGGGAGTTTGAGTGCGTGTATTTTAACGAGTCCGTGGTTAAGCTGGTCATTTCGATTTTATCTAGATATTTCGGGACATGGCGACCGAGACTTTGCCCATGATGACGACGAAAAAGAAGACGCCGTCGGATTTTCTCAAGAGCGTCTTGGGTCGCCCCGTGGACGTGAAGCTCAATAACGGCGTGGAGTACAAGGGCGTCTTGGCCTGTCTCGATGGGTTTATGAACATCGCCATGGAGCAGACGCAAGAGTATCAGAATGGCCAGCTCAAGGCCCAGTACGGAGACTGTTTTATTCGAGGCAATAATGGTGCGTGTCGGATATTTTCGTAGTCGTGTGGGCGATTGATTGGCTGCAATAAATGGCGTGTGTCTCATTTAGAAGCCTCTCTTCTTTATTTTGCTCTTTATTTGTGGGCGGACAGTGCTCTACATCTCGGCGGCCAAGTGAGTTCATAGCAGGACTGTCGTATCACCTGCGGTCGGTCGTACAATAGTGACAAGCTGGTGTACGCTCTCGATCCATTCGACTGCAACATTACGCACACGTAATGAAGACACTGCGGACCTAAAATGCTCTCAGTAGCTCTCAACTTTCTCGTCGGAATAGCATCCCAGCCCGGTTTCTACTTGAGCCAGAAGGACGATGCATTCGCACTCAATGTTGGCAGCTCCGTCGCCTTCAGATGCTCCTCGACTTTCTTCACGCAGCCTCGATGACACATTCGCAAAGTCTCGTACAGCGGAAGCGCCGTGCCGTTTCCCACGCCCCCATCCAACGTCGCAGCTGCCTCGCCTTGCAGTGCAGTAGCACCAGCAACAGGAGGCGACGGCGTGCATTGACAGGCACCCGAGATCACCGAGTGCGTTAAACTCGCGTGCAGTCGCGGCTGCATGAGGGAAAAGAAGCTCCCGCCTCGCCCTGCTTGCGAACCACTGCACGTCTTGGAGCACGGGAAGCCCTCCATATTCAGGTCGCCGAACGTCACGTAAGCCTTCGAGGTGTTGACGACTCCGGACCGAGGCGTTGTTAGTCCCCATTTCGCTAGCATCATCCCACAACAAGCTCTCCTAGTCAGCCACAAGGCACAGAACTTCCAGCCTCATGGCACGTCTTACCGTGGTTGCCATCAGGGACTCGACCGCCAACCAGTTGCCAGGTCAAATTCGCACTGCCGTCACTAAGATGCCAGCTGCCAAGATCAGCACATCCAGCAAGTTAGAACCTCTTGTTAGAGCAGCCACCTCAACACGCAGGGTGCAGGTACGTACGTTGCTAGCATGAGGTTCTCGATATTATAAGGAGCGGATCCGTCCGCGTTCAGCTTCACGCCTGTCCGTGGGTCGTTCAGACAAAAGCTGCTGGGAGCATGGGCGAAGACGTCACCTCCACAAATGGTCGGAATGCCGTAGCTGCCATCCCACCACGAAGCCACACTGACGTCCGAGTCAAGGAGCTCAGCTACGAGTGCCCACGGTGGCACTGCAGCCCGCGGGCTCTTGACCAGTACCACGATCTCTTCCTCCTCACCGAGATCCATCAGACCCTGATCCTCAGACAGCGGCTCGAACACGCGCGACGTCTCCCTTGGCTCTGCTTCCGCCTTACCGGACAGCCTGAGTCGAAACTCCGCCTTCATCGCGTCTTGCACCGGCAATTGTGGATCCAGGAGCGCATGGTAGAAGGCTGCCGCACTGGTGTTCCCAAGCTTCACGCCATCTTCGTACAAGTTCGCACTCCCCAGAAGCCGATGCAACGATGATGATCCGTTCCGGAAGAAGTTCCCCGAGCACAACCGGGCGAGCTGCAGGTTCTCTCCGAGCTCCACCAGCTCCCGCTCTTCCAGCGACAGAGCCAGCAGATGCTGCGCGAACGCCACGTTATTGTCCACTTGACACCCAAGTCTCACGAACGAGTCGTTGCGGGTTGGGTCCGGGAAGTTTGGCGTCGAGGTCTGCAGGAACACCCCTCCAGTGCCATCCTTCTGGAACACCACGGCCCCTTTCGCGTGCGCACTAAAGACATCAGCGCCTCCACAGACTTGCGGTTCCCTTCCGATCTCAAGATCCACGTCCTTGGCAGCTGGGAACGCCCCCGCAATTCCATTCAGTTGGTCGTTGAACAATGCCCAGTAAGGCCGACTCGCGGCCTCTCGCTGCTTGAGCGTGTGGCTCACAGGGTCGTCGCCTCCTTGGCCGAGACAGTCGAAGCCCAGGTCCCGGAAGTACTGGAACGTTGGCTCTTGGGAGTCTGCGTAGAGATAGCAGAGTCCAGTTGCTCTCGCCTCGAGTGCTGGCCATCCATTTGTGGGGACATTGCCACACTCTGGAACGGGACAGTCACATGGTGTTGGAATCGCGTGCGGTTCCACGCCCTTGACGTGAGACGGCAGCTTGAGCACGGCCCACCAGGCAACGGGACGACCGAAGCCATCGAGGGCTCGAATTGAGGTCCCGCAGACACTTCCGAGTAGTACTTGAAGCAGTTGCAGCAGTTGTAGCAGCTCGACGATCTTCGCGGCCATTGTCTTGGAACCAGGGCGTCGAGATCTTTGACTCGAATCCACGTCGAGACTTGAGGACTGGAGTGGGAGCGATGGATGCAGTTCCACAATAAATACCGAGACTTTTATTTGACATCGATGGGCTACCATCCGGACCTTAGTCCTCCCTCCCTCTCTCCATCTCTTCTCTCTTCTCTCGTGACTTCCCTGACCGTCCCAAAGATGTGACCCTCTACTTACAACGAGCTCTACAGCATCCCTCGAGCGTCGTCTAGATCGGCACGGACTGTGGGACGCCGGTCATGACCTTGAGCATCTTGGCCGAGCGATCGGTCAGGAACGCCGGCCGTTCGCTGCTCACCTTGCGCTTGTCTCCGACCGACAGCTGCGACGACGACAACTGACTCGAAGACTCGTGATGCCGGTACGAAAGCTGCTGCTGCTGGTGCTGGTGCTGCTGCGACGTAAAATAGTGCACCACTTCCGACTGCGACGGCGGCATCTGATGCATCATCACCTGTGGGTGTGGGAACGTCGGCGGCAAGCTCCGCGACTGTCCGTCGTGGTGCGCTTGGTACGCGTACATGGAGTGCGGCGTCCCGGCCATGACATTGTGATGCATGAGCGAGTTCCCGCTGTTATTGAGCGCCAAGAGCTGCTGCGACTGCATCAGCTCCGACGACGTCAAACTCGAGGAGGAGGCGGCTGCAGCCTCCGCAGCACACGTCGCAGCCTTGCGCTTCTGACGCGCGAGCACGCGACTGGACCCCACTTCAAAGGACGTGGACATGCCCGAGCCAATGCAGGCGTAGTACCGACGGTCTCCAGTATCAGCGGCCGTCGCGCCCATGCGCACGAACGCCTCAAACTGCACATAGTACTTGACGTTGCGCCGCTTGCACTTGCCCTGGGCCATGTCTTCCGTGTACTTCCACACCTTGGGCTTGAACTCAAAGCACGCGACGTGTGCGTCTTGCTGGACGAAATCCGGCAGCCGCTCACCCAGGATCCACTGGTCCTTCATGGCCTCCATCTCGTCCCGCTCGATCGTGCGGCCCAACATGCACTCGCGGATCACGGCTTCTTCAAAGGCCACGGGGATGTTCTCGAGCGAGTGCACGCGGCCCAGCAGCACGAGGTCGTCGAACGTCACGTTCGAGTTGAGCGTGACTTCCGTGACGAGACTGCCGCGACACTTGCCCCACATGAAGTCGTGCTGCTTGAGGTCTTCGATCTTGATGGCCGAGTAGTCGCCGAAGACTTTGCAGCTGGGGAAGCACTGGAGGTTCCGTCGGCCGTTCCGCCAGTACTTGAGCTTGAGCGGCGTCTTGACCTTGATCATCGCTTCTTGAGCCGGGCCATTGGTAGTCCCGCTGCTGCTAGTACTAGCACCTGCGACATGACCAGTCGTCCCACCCCTTGATGTTTCCGTGTTATAGACGGGAGTCGATTGCGGGTGCGGGTGGTACGTCTCGACTTCCTTTTTTGTACCACTCCCGACTACTGGGTCGAGCAACGACGGGAACGCGTGATTGGACAGCATTGGACTAGGCATAGGGTTGTACATCTGCGTCGTAGCTGTCGAGCGACGGAAGTGGGGGTGGGGTACGGATGTAGCCATGTCGGGATGGGAGTGGAAGCAGCTCCCTCGCCCACTTGGTTCCGTGTATTGGTGGTGGCTGTACGTACTTGTCCCACGTGATGAAGATACTGGGGATGGAGACGGCTGTTGTTGTTGTTGTTGATGTGGAGTGGCACAAGGACCGCTTGGAGCGTACATGGAGTGCGAAGGGTACGAGTCGTTGTAGCTCGACGAAGCCGCGACGTCCTCTCGAGGGGCCGGTGAGTACTTGCGAGCGTACTCAAAAGGCAGCGGATCAGCTGCATAGTCTTCCGACGTACTGGGCCCCGGCTTGGTCAGCGGGTGTGGAAAGAGCATCCCCCCGTTCGTGCAGGAAGGAGTCGAAGAGGAAGTCGTGGTAGCAGTAGACGTGGCTGGATGGGAATACTGCAGCGAGTATGACGGCGGCGGAGCGGCGTACGGCATGTGGTAGATCCGGTCCATCGACTGCATCGCTGCATTATTGACCTTGACGTCTCGATTGGAGCTTTGAGGGCTGTGGCCTTGCGGTGGGGTGAGCGCAGCTGCCGTGGCCAACAAGGGCACCGAGTCGGTCACGCAAGACGTCGTCGACGACGGCGGGGCATACAGCTGGTTGAGCGTCATACCGACAGCCATTGCTGTTGTTTTCTGTACAGGGTCGAAGGAGAGCGTGGACGGATGCGCGACGAGTGGGAGCCGATTTGACTTGGACACGCGACGGAGCGAACGACGCGCCTACTGTCGAGGGGTGGAAAAGAGAAGTGAGCGATGGGCTGGTCGAGATTCACTCGCCCATGCCTGGAACTGTTGGACGTGTCCGCGATTCTGTGTGACTGTGTATGTGGCGCGCTTTTGCCCTGCCTTCCCTCTTTCTAAGGCACTAAATTCCACGCAGGAAGGGATTTGACGGGGGGCGACGCGTCTTTGTTTGCCTCACTCGCTGTTACTCCCCGTGCAGAAAGGGGCCACTTGCCACATTCTGAACACCCGGCAGTCACGAACGGACTGACTAAGGTCCTCCAGCCTGACGGGTGAGGGTCGGCCTGCCCGCCACGGACAAGCACTTTCACACAGCAGCAGGACAGAACATGCAGCTAGACGCAGGATTGCCCCGTCTGCGTGCGCAGGTGGCCGTCGCTGGCGTACCCGCACAAGTGCGTGCGCGGCTGCTGATAGATTGAAGAACTTTGCAAAGGTTCCATTCTTTGACGCCACGGCTGGCTCGTCGCGCACGGGCAGCAGACGCAAAGCACGCGCGCGTCCTTGTGATGCAAGAAACGTACCGAGCTCTCGTTCTTAGTCAGCGCTTCACGTTGCAGCGTGCACGACAGCCAGCAGTCGCGTCGTTCAGGAGCTGCAGTGCTCTGGACAGCTCTGTAGCTGGTATTCATCACGACTGCAGAGTAGGCTCGAGAGTGGAGCTACTGTACGCTACTACTGAATGGGAAGTGGGACGGCGTGACACAGACGGTCGGTCGTTCATCGCATGGGGTCGCCATCGAAGCGATTCAGCGAAAGCTCCTGCCGGAAGAAAGTCCACTCTGGGTGCCACTGCCACCATGTAATGTAATGAACGGTGCAAAGCAAAGTGTATCTTAGCCCTCGAGACACCTGTTCAGCCCGTCCTTGCAATAGGTGGATCCCCAACCACTCGCGCCACGTAAACCGAGGGCGTGTCCACGCGAGCGGCTTTCGTCTCGAGGCTGTACGGACCATGGAAAAAAAAATACGGGAGTCGATTGCTCTGTACATCAGCTCTTGAAGCTGCGAAGCCGCGGGAAAATCAGCGCGAAGAAGGGCGTGATGGCGACCAGCCTTCGCCGGATATCACCTGAGCGTCCCGCCGTCTGGTCGCCGTGGCTTCCATCATCCACTCGCAAAGGATGGCGAGACTGCTGCGAGGTCTCGCCGTGGTGTCAACGCTAGCGGCATCTTTCGAGCGCTGTCAAACCGGCAGGATATTGTGCCTAGAAAAAGTTGCGCAGTCATGACTTTTCTGCAACCATCAGCCAATCGAGACGAGCGAAGGAGTGACAAAGTGCTCGGCTCCGGTAGAATCGTGGCGATGTCAGGGGCAAATCATCTTGATGACGTGTACAAACGAATGCATAGTTCACTGAAAAGACTGACAAGAGTGCGCTGGCTGCTGCTATCTTCAAGATGAACGCATGGCGCGGCCTATCCCTTGTCTATGTCTACACTGGGTTGCATCGGGAAGTCGGACCTTTTTATACAGCAGCAGCTCATTTCTGCATGCTTTTTCCCTCACAAGCTGTCCATCCATCCATGATCCATCATCGCCCATACAAAAGCCTCGGTAGCTACCGGTGGTGGGCCCTGCCGAGGTCTGTCCGTACCCGCGGGCTACCACTTACCTGCTGCTATCCACGTACTTCGCTCGCGCCAGCTGCCTTCAGAATAAGCAACAAACGAGGCGACTTGATGGTCGAAATGGAAGCAAATACCTTCCTCCCTCCCTCATCGAGGCAGAAAGCGCTCATGTCCTTTCCGTGGTGGGGTTCCTTGATGATTGGCTTCCCATCAGTACCGATCTGATAGCTGCCATGGATAGAGAACGGCCGTTCGAGTGCTCGATAGTCAACCTGCGTGGAGCCAACGTTACCAGGCTTGTTTACGGTGTGTGGATTGGTTGTACCGACCGATCCCTGCCACGAGCGAGCTGCTGCCAGCCAGCGAAACAACTGAACGCTCCATAGCAATCAGCATTGACTCGTGATGGAAATCGAACCTCGGCTAGTCTCTGCTCAGAAGAGCAGCCACCACGACGGATCTATCGCCTTCTGACTGCTTCGGCCATTCGCACACGCTCTTGATTCCAGAGGTCTCGATTGCATACGTCGTAGGGCTTCCGAGATCCAAAGCTGCGGCATTAGGTCAGTTAGTGGTTTGAGTTTGTCGATGGTGTTGCCGCTGGCACAAAGCTTCGCCTGCCGTCGTGTCCAGCAATGCACACGTGACGTGAGCGAAGGAGTGGCATGCGAAAAGAGAGCGCAAGAAAACAGGCAGAACTGCCTGGCCCTGCTACACCTCGAACCAGGCAGTAAAGGGACCGGCACCACGTTCAGACGATCATAGTGGTATGCCGCTCTCGCCAGGATGTCGACCACGGTCAAGATGACGTAGCTGAGCTCGAGGCTGGAAGCCGATGTTCCAAGGTCTTCCTTGATACAGTTACGAGCAGGGTGTTGTCTCCCCAGTAGTATATACTTCCGGTCAACAGCGTCGTACCGCAGAGTTGGATACAATTCGCTCTTTTGTCACGTACGTCATGTGAGCGTCCGTGGTGTACACGAGCGCAACGTGGCACTGCCACCGCCCCCTGAACATCCACGGCAGCTCCGGGGTCTATCTCTCCTGCAAAAAAGACGTCCCTGTGACAACAGTCTCGTGGCCTGAAGCCTGAAAGAGCGACACTGTAATGCGTTCGTTCTGCTTTGGTGTGCGGGCGCGCTCAACAAGAAAAGCTCACCGTCTTTTCATGCATCTAGCGACTGTTGTCCAGGCACAGCTGAGTAGTCACGTTGTCGTTGCAGCAGCACGCCGTCAGTATTTCACCCTAGACTCGAGCTCTCGCGACAGCCACAGATGCGAGTGCAAGAAACAGGAGGTACCCTGGGCCACCGAAAAAGCAAATCGTGAGCTTTCCCTACGTAACATGACGAACCGTCTTTGCTACGCCTGATAGTCGAAGTATGTTGCCTGTCTTGGCGGATCAGCTATCCCTTGGATTCGCTCCGAGCCTCTTCAAAGTGGCTTGGTCAATAAAATGCCTGCTGTTGCTGCTGCTCATAATCGATCGACGTGCAAATGTTCACATTTTAAAAGCGTACGATACGGTGTGGTATGTACTTGATATTCGAGATAGACAAGCTCGCGCTTTTCGACGGTAGATTCATTGAGCATGCCAATCAGACTAATCGGCTCTGCTGTACCGTTTCGTCCGAACGTTGACAATTCTTCGCGTAGATAGTCATCGCATTGTCATGCGTGGCATTCGACGTTAGTTACACACTAATACCTGTGGATTCCGCGGCCAATGTCAACGAAGAATGAGTGGAACATGTCATCGAAAATTAAGAAGCTGTGGTCCGACTGCGTCAAGCAGCTCTTTGGTTAGACACTACAACCTGGCAAGAACAAAGTATCACATCTCCGTGAACAGACCGATCCTTTGCCATCGCAACTCGCAGAGACCAGCAAAACTAAGCTTGCGTCTGTTTTAATGTACCGAGAAGTGCTGCACGCTACCATCTTTCTTTGATCACTGGTTGTTGTACTTGATAAGTAATTTGTGCACTTACTGCGAGCCACGGGCTTCGACTGCTCATAAAGAGCCTTACGATGCAGTCATGAAAATCACGAGTGAGTATTTTGACGACGTCGACAGAATTTGCTGCAGCATTACCCAGTCCGAAGTCTACCGCTAGGCGACACCTCAATCGGATGACAAACGTCTTTTCCTCCTGCTGCATCCTGTACTCACCTGCACGTTCGAAGCACGCGCACTCCACAACCTTTTTACAGATTATACGAGTCCTGTACCGTTATTTCCGTGCAGACTTTATCAGCAGATTTGGCTCGTCAGAAGTCTGAAAGTGGGTATACTAGAATCGACTAGCAAGTTACTACCGAAGAAATGATCTGTTGAGGATAAAGATAGTCACTACAATCTGCGAGCGCTTTAGTGCAACCTAGCGAGCTGTTCAGACGAGAGTTCGCGTAGCAGACAGTCGTACATAATCGGCAATCCGTGCAGCTCTCTCCCTCTCTCTCTCTTTAATCAAACGGTCACGTCACTTTTGGCTCTGCGGGGTAAAACTGGAGTGACGCAAGTTCATCGTGGCAGGTGAAGCTAACAACCGAGTATGTAAATGGATATACGCCCACGACGGGATCTCGGATGAAGAAAGTGTCTTTTACTTCTATCAGTAGGGAAACAGTGGACACGGCAGACGCTATCGTATCCTGGCCTTGGTGCGATGGAGATAGCACCTACGGATACAATGCCCCACTAAAGAAGAAGGACGTGGCGTTTGGAAGGGCTACGAGTGTCCCGCCTATTATTGTTTTGGGGGTCCTAAAAAACAAGTAGCTCCCTAAAACAAATGGATAGTCTACCAGCGTGAAACGGCCAATCAAAACATGGCATACGTAGTAGTCTACTCAGGTAGAAATAACTAGATGATTACAAAAGCTGTAGAAACTGACCTAACATGGAGAGTTGCCCCAGTAGCCGCGCGAAGTACGAGCGTGAAGGGTCGCAGCCTGACAAGAATGCTAGCAATTGCGAGAGAATTAGCTCCTGCGCAACGAAAAAGGTAGTAGCGATATGAACGGCGATTCAAGAGTAGATGAGAATCATGCAGCCTGGGAGCCCCAGCAAAAATGGTACAAATGGTCGTCAACTGAGTGTCGCTGCCGATCGCAATTTCCAGCTACACCTGCTTAGTACAATGATGCAAGCAGGTAAGACTACGGTACGGTAGTACAACTGATGTTATGCGTCATGGTCCACTTTTCGTTCTTTGGAAGAAGGTAAACAAGCACGTAAGTACAGCCCACTCATTTTGTCGACCTCTGTCTGAGAGCTGGTTCTTCAGATGGTCGGGTGCGATGGTGTCCTCCCTGCGCACAGCACATCCACATCTTCCATGTAGCTGAAGGATGACCCTATTTAGCCGACGGTAGTGCAGCAAACACAAAGCCGTTTTCCCCATACATACGCGTGAGCAGCTCAGCCCAAAGTTGTCATAGGTTTCTGCTGAGAGAAGATTAGAGGAAGATCAACCAATGTCACTCATTATGGTGTTCTAAGGGATAAGTTTCGAAGGAAGGGTCCGTGGAGGCAAGGATGTAGAGAAAGCGCGAATCGGCTGCTGCACTGTGCCTACAGTGCAGCAGCCGATACATCATGTCTTCGGAGGCGGTTCACAACCTTGTAGGCTACCCACTTGTTTTTCAAGCGAGCTGCTTGTTTTGTTAGGATCCCCCTTTCGTTTTAGTATCTCAGCAGCACTGTCGTTTTGTCCTCGCGTTGATATTCATGACAGGTTCGTCGTGAGTAACATGCTGCAGCGTACCACGTGTCAACATCTCACGTGCTTCCTCAGATTGCTTCAAATTAATTCACGATCACAGGTGTGCGCTGCTCGAGGTCGGTCGGACCTTACACAAGGTGACGTTTACAGCTCCGTCACAAAATCACATTGACGACGATTGTCAAACCAGGGGAAGGTGGCGGCTCTTGCGCTACCAGGTGCAGCAAGATCCGCAGTCGTCAACCTTTTCTTGACTATCGATATGGCCTACGCTTACAGGTTGTAGTAAAGCAAAACTATGCAGACTACAAGCTGCTGACACGACTTGGCTGTCTCTCGAATCGCCATGCTTGCATATAGCCAATTGATCAGCAAGGTTCTGGAACCTCTCATCTTGTGAACGCGCGATAGCTGGTAAACAAGACGAGCTTAGTGAGCAGCAAAGCGATGGCAATACCGATACTAGTTGGCAGCGTTTATTCCTCACGTAATCCAGCAAAAGGCCTAACTCGTGGATGGTCCCTGTATCGTACGCGTTTAAGAAGTCAACAACCCTCCCCCGCCTCTTGCACCCATTACTCACACGAAGGAGCGCAGAATTTGGGTATGCCTGTAACCACAAACCATTCTGTAGCCATATCCGAGGTGATACATATCCACCGTGTTTTGCAACGCGTGTCTCGCAATTGAACCTTTTCACGACATCCACCTTCCAGCTTTCTATCTCGTAAAGTCGATGGATTCAAATTTTCTGCTTCCTATTCCGTGCAAAATATCCTTTAGAAACTCTTTAGAAATGCTCTTTTGCGTGGACTCTTTCGTGTACGACCATAACGCCACCGACAGACGCAAGTGCGACTGACGTCCCGCCCCCACCATGTACGCGTCCAAGTTCAGCTTCAAAGGTGCCCAAGCGCGGTTCAACCTGTTGCTGCTTGAAGACGGCGAGTTCTTCCTCGATGTACGCAGTCTCTCTTGTTGCCGTGTATCGTTTTTCTTCCCATTATTCTAACACGGGGGTATTGTAAAATCTAATCAAACGGTGCTTCTTATTTGGATACTCGACAGGATTTTAGTGTCTATCGGTTCCTGGAACCTCAGCCCGATACACACCGGTACAATCTGCTTTTCTTTTCCCTCCAAAAAATAATCTACTCTCTGATCTAATGCTTGGCTTGACTGTTTTATCGCTGCAGGAAGGTGCAAGGACGACTAAAGTTGTGCACGCGCGGCTTTTTTTTCGAGCCGCAGGACACGAATTTACCAATTTTGAGATTTTTCTTCCGTGATATGGAGGAAATGCCCGTGGCAGAGCTGCACGACCATCCAGAAGCTGAGGACTGTGCCATTTTTCTAGCGTTCAAGGTGTCGTCGGTGCTGCAAATGAAGGAGCGGGGAGTGGACCACCCGTACGTGCAAAAAGAGACGGGGACAAGTGCTGGGGTCCCCGAGAAGTACATTTTCTCGCTGCTGCATTCCACGATTAAGGAGCTGTTGAAAAACGTGCTACCGATTTGGGAACTTGCCCACAAGGATAGTGTGATGAACAAGGTGGACGAAGAAGCGCTGCTCGAGCCAGTTTTACGGCCGCGACAGACTGACCAGTTCGATTCGAGTTTGTTGGTCGATTTCCGAGAACGACCGCTGCAAACTGAGGGAAAATTAGTGGACCGCATCGTGCCGTTGCTCAAGTACCCAGGTTGTCTGATGCTGACGAACCAGCGACTGTACTTCCAGCCGGCACAAGTGAACAATGTGGGCGACCCGGTGCTCAATTGGGCGTACAGTACGATCGAGTACTTGTACAAGCGACGACATATGCTCAAGCAAACAGGTTTGGAAATTTTTTTGCAAAATGGTGAAAGCTCCTTCTTTAGCTTCCGGAATCATCACGATCGCGATGACGTTTATAATATGATGGTGAGCCAGCCGGACCTGAAACACCTGCAGCAGGCAGAGTTGGAATCGATGCTGCGGAAGTGGCAGCAGCGCGAGGTATCGAATTACGACTACTTGTTGTATTTGAATAACGCTGCTGGGCGTACGAAGAACGACCTCACGCAGTATCCCGTGTTTCCGTGGGTATTAAGCGACTACGAGAGCTCGTCAATCGACTTGTCCGACCCAGCTATATATCGCGATCTCTCGAAGCCTGTCGGTGCGCTGAACAAAGAACGTCTGGAGTTTTACAAAGCCCGGTTCGAGGCAATGCCGCGCGGTATGGAAGATGAGGGACTGCCTCCGCCGTTTTTGTATGGAACACATTATTCCACTCCCGGATACGTGTTGTATTACTTTGTGCGCATGGCTCCTGAGTACATGCTCTGTCTCCAAAATGGCAAGTTTGACGCGCCCGACCGGCTGTTCCAGAGCATTGCCAGTACGTGGAGCAGTTGTAACACGAATCATGCTGACTTGAAGGAGCTCGTCCCAGCCTTCTTTGACGACTCAGTGCCGCCGACGGAATGGCTTTGCAATGGAAAAAATCTTGATCTTGGAACTACGCAAAAGTTGACGCGGGTACATCAGCTGGCTCTTCATTTGTTTTTCTGTGGTAATTATTTAGCAAGTGTGCTAACTTTGTGCGATTCTCGTCCAGGTTGGAGACGTCGATCTTCCTGCGTGGGCATCTAGCCCATCTGAATTCATCCGTATAAACCGAGAAGCTCTAGAAAGCGAATACGTTTCGGATCATCTTCATGAATGGATAGATTTGATCTTCGGTTATAAACAACGAGGAGATGCAGCCGTTGAAGCAAACAACTGTACGTCCGCACTTATCGACATGTGCATTGCAATGGCGCATGCCGGCAGTCGGAACTGCTACTAACTACATGGCTCTGTCACAGTATTTTACTACCTGTCATATGAAGGCTCGGTAGATCTGGAGACAATCACCGATCCTGTGGATAAATGCTCATTTGAAGCGCAGATTCAGGAGTTCGGACAGACACCGAAACTTCTGTTTGCTGGGTCTCATCCTTCACGTAACGATGTTGGCAAAGTTGTGAAAATTGCGACGCTAGACCCGGTGCCACCTTTGCGAAAAGTTGACGAATCTGCTGACAAGAGCAACGCTTTGTCATCTACCAGTGAAATCGATAAATGTCGTAGAGAAGACGTTGAAGCCGACCAAATCGACGAAAGCGAAGAAGGAGAAAACGCAATGGCGGGGAACCGACGCAGTATGTTTGCGTTCCGATCCCGCTCATTTGGCACTGTACCGAAGCAGGCGCAACGGTTTGTAGGAGGGATTACAGCGCAGATTCGGCGCCGAATAAGTATCGAGTCGCCCAAGCGCTGGAATTGGACATTCGGTACCGGAGGCGATAGTTCGTCATGGGTGCCGTCGGCACATTACATGCTTCATGCCGGGTAAGCCAAACATTTCATCCGTACACATGTTTCAACCAGTCTAACATTTCTCCATTGTGGTCTCAGCGAGGTCACTTCTCTGGTCCTCGGAAAAGATGGACGGGCTCTTTTCTCCACGTCCAAGGATTCGACGTTCAAAGTATCTGCAATCCTGGATGGCACGTTGCGGCGTAACCTGTCTTGTAATTTGGCCTTATCATGCTGTGATGTAGCGCCCGACGAAAAGTATGTCTTTGTTGGATCGTGGGACAGCTGCATATACATGTATTACATGGACGTCGGACGTGTCGTCGACCAGGTTACAGCACATGATGACGGTGTGTCGGCTATTTGCGTGTTTGAAGACCGCTTGATTTCGAGTTCTTGGGACGGCTCGATCAAGATGTGGCACTATACGCCAAAAGGAATCGCAGCCACCCCTTTGTCGACGTTTCTGGGGTGCGAGGACTCGGTAGTGTGTCTGTGCGTCAGCATAAATGGGTGCACGGGAGCTGCTGCAACGAGGAATGGTGTGTGCTGAGCAACATAAACTTTCATGTCTGGTATGGAGGTTCTCATGTGTTTTGTGCGGTGATAGGGATCGTGTATCTTCTTGACCTGCGCACGTGCGAGCTCATGCGCAAATTCCCCGCGAGTACAACACAGCGCACAGAGATTTGCGGGTTGACATTTTGTGGCGGGGGACCTACGCTTGCGTGCATAAGCGTATCAAATGAGCTCTCCATGTTCCAAATGGATGGCACGCGAATAGTGACCATCAACGTGAACTCTGATGGGCCTATCCGGTATGCGTCTGCGTGTCGATCGTACTCTTGTAACACCATCGACTCATCCCGTGTTGACCTGAATCCGTACAAATTGCAGGTGCTTTGACTCTGACGGAGAATACGCAGTCGGGGGGACGTCTACAGGCACGCTACTCTTCTGGAAACTTGACGAACCAACTGGCCAGGAACAGGTGTTAGAAATTCCGGATGCACACACTCACGGCGTGTCAGCACTGGCCGTCAGTGCAAACGCGTCTACAATTGTCTCTGCATCTGGTGACGGAGGGATCCGAATTTGGCAACTGCGTCGGAAAGCTGCTTCTCGTGGCCGTCTCACAGCCTTCTTCTAACTCGCACATCGGTTGGGGTGGGGGCTACATAAGATAGCGTGACGAGGCCACGCCGAAGAAGTATCGAGTGCGCAAAACGTATATGAATACCACATAACTGTTTAGAATGTCATCCATACTGTTGTTGCTGGAGACAAGTCAGGATCGGTACATTCAAAGACGTCAGACCTCGTTCGTAAATTGACCAAATCCAACTTCCTGTTGCTCTTCCTCCGACAGCACAAAGACCCCGCCTTCACGGCCTTTCAAACACGCATCCGAAGCCACACACACGCCTTACCTGTAACACGAATTGCTTGCAGCTCGATGTCCAACAACAGCAGTTCGAACCTCATGCAATTCAGGAATGCGTCAACAGAACCAAGTGTCCAGTCACTTCGTCACTTCAACTTCAAGCAACCGCCCACTAGTCCTCTTTGTACTCGTCCCCCATTGCGTCTTCCATCATCCCCTTGAGCTCCAGTCTACAGTCACATACACACACACAGCACCATCAAACACGCAACAACACCATTAGTCAACCAGTAAAAGGCAGCGCCGCCCAGCCCACCGCCGAGCCATTGAATGTCGGACCGAATCTCCGAGACATCATCTCCTTGCAGCACGTCCTTGACAAACTGCACTTCCACACGCATTTGCACCATCTCCAGAGCTCCTCTCAGCACGCCACAGAGCACGTTCGAGTACCACAACACGCCATAGGCACTCGGTGGCAGCTCGACAAATTCTGCTCAGAAACGGCCTAAGTTAGGCACACAACAACAGTGCCCAAAATAAGCCCCGACCCCGTACCTGTGAGCGGATTATCATAGAGCGTAAGACTGCAGGCCGTGCCCTCGGCGTTCCACTGCGACACGTCGGCACTGATGCCGAGAAACATCTTGAACGCCACTTTAGCGACGACTTCAGCGGTTTCCTTGAAGTCCTGGCAGGTGGTTACGCCTGATTTGGCCAGGAACTCGTCCACTAGCCGCACGCCAATGTTGTACCCCCTTTACCCCCCATTAGCATTATAACACGTAATATTATTCTATATGAGAGGGTTCTGTGCACATTTATAAATCTGTGTGCGTGCGTACACGTTTTGTTTTGTACGTACATTTTGTCGAGTTGCTCATTCACGACCTTGAGGTCCTCAAAGTCCTTGATAAGCTGTGTCACGAGCGAGCCGTAGGTCAGAGCGAAGAGCTCGCCGTTCTACGAGACAGGAAACACAGGAGAGAGTGAGCAGGATGGTGCGAAGAAGGAGAGGGAGGAGGCGAAAGTGTACGCACGACTTTGGGGATCTTGCTCCAGGCGGTGTCGCCTAAGCGCTGGTGCGGACGCGGGGTCGACATTTGTACGACCGTCTTCGAGCGGGCAAAGTGTATCTATTGTGGCGTAAAAAAATGATAGAGGACCTTATTTATTCAATTTTCGAGGTTGTAAGTTGTGGTCATTTAAATCGATGAGACACGTATTTTCCGTTTCTTTCGCTGTTTTTGTAATATTGCGGTCATGTTGCCTGACATTTGTGTCCCTATCACCACGTTTTAGCTTCCACCGACATGATCATAGCATTTCTAACGCCTGCGATGTTCGATGTGGAAAGCATATTGCGATGTATAAAGTGGGGAGCACATTACGACGACTGTCAGAGAAAGCTTGTTTTTGACCAGCCGAGTTGCAGATCGTACAGTGGAGAACGTCCCATGACTATCAGTCGTTAGTCAAAGTACTACATTGCTTGCGCTGTAATCCGATGCGCTGGAAAAAGCTGACAGCGCCATGGGTACCTTACAAACTGTAGTTGTATAACATTGATGCCATGTAACACGACAACACGTAGCAACGTAGGCGATCCGAGCTTTTCGCACGCCAAGTTCCTCGTCGAACATGCTTGTTGCCTCGAAGTAATCATTTCTGATCAAGTAATGAGTACTCGTTGTGAACTAGGATAGCAGTTCAATATCTGGACCGACTTGATGTTTTCTTGCAATGTTTGCTTCTTTTTGATTGTAGAATACGGGACCTCACATGTAGCCATGTTACAAATCATCGTCAATTTTGACAACGTGTTGTGTCTTTCCATTTTGACAGGTAGCATGGACACCATCGCCTCGCAGATACAGCGCGACTTGCGCGCTAAGTACAGTCACGTCATGATCAAGTGGTACGAGGCGGTAGAATGGACAGAGCCGCTCATCGTGGGGCTGCTCAGCTTCCACGTCGCGTTGTTTACTGCGCTCTGGCTGACGCGCAAGCGGTTGTACGCGCAATTCGTGCTCTTTGCGCTCATAATCACGCTTCTAGTGGCCACTGAGGCGCTGAACAAGTGGGCGAGGACGAACTGGCGCCTCGTGGCTTCGCAGCGCTATTTTGACGAGCAGGGTGTGTTCATGGGTCTTTTTTACGCGGGACCGCTGCTCGCTGCAGGTTTTTTCCAACTGGTATGTCAAAATTGTCAGTAATGTCAAAAACTGAAAACGATACTGATGTCAAGATGTGTGTTTGTTTGGGATGGGGTTTTGTTGTTAATGCTGTAGATGCTGAGCATGAAAAGCATGGTCGATATGGTGGTGATTGTCAAGCGAGCAGAATATCAACAACAGCTCAAGGTCAAGAAGGATCTGTAAAAAAGAGATAAAGCTGCTTGGCACACGAGTACTTTCGATGACGCTTTCTCTCCTGAGGCACCGCCTGGTGCTGCTGGAATGCTCATTCCAACTCTTGCACGGGGTACTCCCTCATCCATAGGTCGTGAATGAATTCGTACAGTTCGTCGGACACGGACACTTTGTACGGCGTCGGGTTGAGCGACCGGATCACGTCCTCGCGGATCAGCTCGAATTGCTCTGAGACGTACTGACGGCGGTCCTCCAGAGTCGGCAACTCACCGACGAGGCCTCCGTTCGGACCATCCCAGTACAGACTGTGCAGCGGGATGACTTGAGACGGGGTCACGTACGCGCGTCGGAGCTCATCGAACGGGTTCCGGCACAGCATCTTTCGGCCAACTTCGGGCGGTGGCTCGTTGACGCCCGTCATGAGATCCAGCAGCGGCTTGCCATTCGCGCCAATCAGGCGGTACGCTTCTTTGCGTCCAGGAATCGTCACCTTGCTGACGTCTTGGGAGAGCTTGATGCGCGGCTCGTTGTTGATCTCCACCAGCTTGTACACCATTCCAAGCGCCGGTTGCGCCTGGCACGTCACGAGGTGTGTTCCAATCCCGTACGAGTCAATTTCGTGGCGCTGCTCGTTCAGTGAGTTGAGCACTGCTTCATTGATGTCGTTGCTAGCAGTGATGTTTAGGTCCTTGAAGTAGTCGATGTCGTACAACTCGCTTGCAACAACAAACGCTTCACGACACTGCTTTGAGAGATAGGACAGATCACCGCTGTCCAGACGGACACCAACCGGATGGTGGCCGAGCTCGTGCAGTGCTAGTGCGACGCAGATGAAGTTTGGCACACCGGACTGCAGGTACAAAACAGAAACGTCAAAAGAAAATGTGCGATAACCAGAAGGCGTTGAAAAAACGCACCGAAAGCGTGTCGTAAGTATCAACGAGAGCCAGGAACGCATCGGGGAAGGCAACCGCATACGAAATGAAAGCCGCGAGCTCTCCCTAGCAACAACAGCATCAAGAGCATTGGAAATCGTCAGAAGGATAATCAGATTCCCAACCTCCTCAGCATCAACTCACGTCGTTCGTCTGTTTGTAGCCAAGCTCCGTGCGGTACTTGAGCACCACGTCAAGGAAGTTTTTCCCACCCAATGTCGTGACTTTTACGTCCTCCAGTGTCGTGTGTGCCTGCACAAAGGCGTGGGCATGGGTGCCCATGATAGGGATTTTGTGAAGCTTGCCCGCCAGCACGTTGCTCGTGCCTGTGAAGCCAGCCATGTACGAGTACCTCGAGGCGCTCAGGCCTCCATCCGGACCCTGCGCGCGTCGCAGTCCAAACTCCAGCAGGTTCTTGTCTGCTCCTGCTGCTTTCTTGAACCGCGTGGCATTGGTGGTGATGAGACTGGCAAAGTTCAGCAAGTTTAATAGCGGCGTCTCCAGTAGCTGTCCGACTGCCAGCCCTCCTTCGATGCGGACCAAGGGGACCCGGGGGAACACAATCGAGCCTTCTCTCACCGCATATACCTTGACACTGGTACAGTCGAGTGTGGAGAGCCAGTGAAAGAAACCGTCTTCAGCATGGGGCAGCACCTCCCGGAGGTAGCCAATGTCGCTGGAAGTGAAGGCAAAGGTGTTGATCATAGCGAGCGCTTCTTCGAGACCGGCGAATACCGTGTATTCTCCGTGGAAGGGGTTTTTGCGGAAGAAGAGGTCGAACACGGCGTGGTCATTGTGCCGACCGACTTTCCAGTACGCGTAGACCCTGTGAAGATTGGGGGAGAGAAGCGACGTTAGAGGATTCACACACACACACTGCAGTAGGCAGGTTAAGTGCAGGTAGATAGGGATAGACAGGGAGAGATGGATAGGCATAGAAGTGGGTCGATCGATAGCGTACATGGTAATTTGGTAGAGGTCTGTGAGCATGGGCCCGACCAACGAGTTCGTGGGCGCAAGGACGTGGTTAGCGTTCATCATCTGCGGCGAAAGTGACGACGGGGCGCTCGCTAGTGGCTGAATGAAGAGGTCGAGAGCTCCGCAGAAAAGGGACCTCCTGCACGCGCGACGAGTTCAGCCGAGTTCGAGCCAATAGACGGGGTCGTCGTATCTTGGAAGGAAGATGGCTACAGAAGAGGATATGACTGGGTCCTCCGACATCTCTGTCGTCCTGGAGACGGTACGTTCGCTGCGTGTCACATGTTGGTTGACCGCATAAACTATGAAAGGTAGGGCGGGACTGCGTAAGTGCATAACGGAGACGAGCGACAAGCAGGCGGTAGATTTGACTAGTTGTCAGATTAAAGCAGTACTTGTTCGTCCGGACTGCGTCGGGCTACGCTGTCAGCAGGGAAGGCAAAGTATAAAGTGTCCGTGTCGCTTGTGTAGATGATAAAGCGGTTACGGTAGCAATGCAATATGAAGTGTTCAGGACTAGGCAAAGTACTTTCGTAGATCACGCACGTCGAAGCGTTTTAAACTATCCGTCTTTGTGTAGTCTTGTGAGTCTGAAGCATCCGCATGGGAGGAACGCCACATTGAACCCTGTACAATACGCACGGGGACCATACAGATGGCTCATGAAGAGACTTGAGGATGTGTTTGCTGAAGAGGCGAGGCAAACAGTAGTTTCTACTGTACGATCCTAAAAAACGCTTAACTGCGAAGCGAAGCTTTACTGTTGCTTCGGATCGTTGTTCAGTGCGAAGTTCTATCATATCAAGCAAATATGTGTCTTCTCCCTACCATGCTAGTTTTGCTACAGTTCAGGCGTAAGTTAGTTTATGATCAAGCGATCAGTCCCTTTCGTCGTGTTGCCCTATATTCCTGCATATTCATCAGCGCCTTTGTCGGCATGATGATAAGCTCCAGCGATCGAGAAAAGGACGCACGACAACCACTTGGTTCAACTCCACTGCAAAATAATTGAGCTAACCTCAACTAAATCATCTGCAGTTGTGCGGTACGACATGAGCTAAGAACCTTTTGATCCCTGCAGTCGCCAATGTCACTGGTATCATCGTATGCAGAAATTATGGCATACCAGTGGAATTGGCGACTTATGGCATGACAAGGATCTAACAACCAGTAGATCACAGTACCTACGAGTCATTCGGAAGTCTTGATGACGCGCCCAGTCGTGTTTTGTACTACTTCTAGCCGTCACGCAGCATTCATATGCAACAGCTATCTTTCGTTCCAGTGACGCGAGCTCGGACGTCGGCTTACCGTATAGTTTGGGGCTGATTGTCACTTCAACAGATAGTCTTGTCAGTCTCGAGCTTCGGTCTCCTCGTATTTAACTTGTCCGCGTCTTTTCCATCGAAACTGTCGCTTTTTCACGCACAGAAGGAGTTTGTGAGACCTAGTCACACATTATGGCAACGTATCGCGACTATTATCATCAACGAGGCCAAGTGCTAGTTTGCAGGTGCTTCAGTAGGCCTTCGTTGTATAAACACCCCGAAACCACCGAGATTACATCGGCATTTACGGCAGAGAAATACGATCGTCTCTGCTAAAGTGTACGGAGAAATCGTGGTCTCGTTGGCTACCTGGACGTGAGGCGCTTTACTTGCTCTCAAAGCATCGTCTGCGTTGATAGATCCCCAATGCACATCGTCACATCAAAAAGCCGAGGTGAACTAGCAATATCAGCACGCGTCGAATCGACTTGTAGTCTGCACTTTTGTTTCCTCACTACGAAACCAACGCGTGGCGACATAAAATGAAATGTGTGAACTCCATTGCATTTACGATCGAGTACAGACCCTGTCGTCATGTAGCACCTGACCTTGTAAATGATAAAACAACAGCCATTACACACTGGTCTGGGTGCTCGCTAAGCTCGAAGTCTGATCGCAAATTTGTGTAATTAGTTCATCTTCTCACCGCAGTGCTGGATACAAGTTTTAAGCACAAAACTGTTGCTGCCGATGTGCTACCAAGAACTTACTAGAATGATCCAGCTTCGTCGATACGCTCTCACAGCTCACAGCATTGCCTGGTGTATTGCAATCCCAACCCGATTATACTTTTCTTCCTCTCCAGTCTAGTCGAGCACATATTTGCATCGTTTTCGACAACGAATGACCCATGGCAGCAGTCGAGTGGCAACTCGGCCACGAATTACGATAATGAGCTTGTAGGGTCAGGTACGTTGCGAAATTTTGCCGAAAGAGCTCAAATACTGTGTCAACGAGGCCAGTTCTTCACAGCTCACTTGACGGCAATCGACAACGACCTTTGCCATGTGATCGCCTCAGCAGCGTGTATGAGTAATGTCATTGCACGGATCTGCTGTACAGAAGACGCCGTGCTGTGCCGATAGGTTTGAAGAGTTCACCATCAATCGAGAAAGCTTTTATTGCAATAAAGATCCATATTCCTCTTCGAGAGACTTGCCGGACATGGTCTTGCCTCGAAGCATCATCAACAGCTGCTCACTGAACGCAGAACCCTTCTGCTTTTCTCTTCTACACACGAGAACACTCCCATCGATCAGTTCGTTACCTTGACGCCACATCGATGACAACAACAATGCACGAACCTGATACTGGCCTCCAGACTTTCGAGCTCATTCGTCTTCTTCGCACTGACACTGTTGTCATTTTCGATCGTTTCTTCTGGAACCGAGAAGAAAGTTATCTCGTGGTTGCGTAGTTTCTCTGGTACGTGGGTCAGCGGAGGATCCAACAGATTTTGCGGATCCACACTGCCATACCAACTACGCCAGTGAGACTGTGTCAAGAGCGATCCCAAAAAAGCGTTCTTCTTCGTCATTAATGCTCTTCTCTTGAATGACGCTTTCTCGACTGCGTTTGAGATAAGAAGCTCCTCAGCCAAAAAAACGTCCTCTCCACTGCTGCTGCTGTCGTCGTCTGCATCGTCGTCTGAGAAATGAACCTGCTTCACGAAATTTGCACTACCTTTTGATAGAAACCAGGAGCTCAATGGCGTAGTCGATAGCGTTCGCGACATGGACGATACATCGTGAGCAGGTGGAACCATACCAAATGACGCGCCCCAAGCATTTAAAGGACGTGAAGCCGAGCTGACGGTTGGCTGCCCGGCTTGTGTAGGGCAAGCATTGCCAAGACGATTCTTTTCCAATCCAGTTTTCATCACTTTTTGCACATTCGCTGGGCTGTCAATGATAACGCCAGCGTTTGTGGCCTTTGCACTGCTTTCGACAGCTATTGCAGCAGATTCGGAGCTACTTTCCCCACCTGTACTCAAAGCTGTGACGGAAACACCCCCTTTCATCATGGTTGACGGTCTCAATCCGTTAGCTGGAGTCCTGCAGCTGCTTGACGATGTCGTCTGAATCTGCACCAAAGAGCGCTCAGGCTGCCTGAGTGGCATCGTATCGACCATTTGTTCGGTGGATGGTGCCAAAAGATGACGCGAATTGCCAGATTCTAAATCGCCTACCTTTTTCGCTGCAGTTTGGCAGGTAGGCGAGCCTTCTTCCACTGGCAAATGTGGCTCATCTTCTGCGATCACGCCAGTTTTCGCCAGCACGTCGGGTGTCGGGATATTGACTGCAGTATCCGCTGGGTTTGGTGTGCGATGATTCGACACATGGTCTACCACAGCTGCTTCCTGATCAGCAGACGGTTGTACTTCGTCTGGTCTTGTTTCTTGAACTGCAGCAGCTGCGACTTTTCTTTCTACCGCACTTCGCTTCGAGGGCGGGAGAAAGGGGGTCACGGAGATCGCTGGCCCCAGATCATGAGGTAATTGTCGCTTGTGGCGAACAGTCTGAGACCATTCTGACGGTGACGATACGGACTGTGTACTTGCTAGTTGGCGCGATGAATTGCTGACGACCACAGCAGAAGATGTCTCGGTGGTATCAAGCGAAGTGTCGATTGCCTCACTCCGCGTCGTCTCATCCAAGGCATGCTTACCACGAACACAACCACCAGATACGGCAGCGTGTGACGGTTTCAAAAGTTCGGCTACATCTGTCGTCGAGACGCTTGGTACTGACCTTGTATGTACAAATTCGTCATCGATAGTAGCTGGGGACGGACTGGTACCGGAATTTGCAAAAGACTTTTTCGTCATTGCCACTTCAGCAAGCGAAGTGGTCGTTGTCGTATCACATTTCCGCGTCGTCGCAATAGCTGCATCGGCTTGAGGTAACGGCTGCTGTGGTGCCAAAATGACCAAATCGATACGCCTCATCAGAAATGGTATCGTATCGTGATGAAACTCCGTGACTTATCAAAGCAAAGTAAACTAGGTGACGAGCTTTGCTTACCTGTAACGCTGTCGGCTTGGGAGCTTTTGCCTCATCAGCGGCCTCACGAACTCCAGCTTTGGAAAATAGCTGCGGCAGTCACAGCCAAATTGTAACAGCGAACAAATCGGGACATCTGATCAGAAATGATATCGTACCATGAAGGAACTCCGTAACGTGTCAATACAAGACGTACCGGGAGATCCCTACTTGCCTGCGGCCCATTTGACTCGAAAGCATTTACCACGACAGCAACCTGCTGGATTTTGCTCTTCGGCTGTAGCTGCAATAAAGGCTGCTGCAATTGAGACGCCTCATCAGTCACGGCATCGTCTCATGATGATACTCCGTAGCGTATATCAAACAGTAAGACATACCTGGTGAGCTCTACTTGCTTGCGCTGCAGTTGACTTGGAAACTTTGGTCGTAGCAAGGACCTCAGGAACTTTAGCCTTCGGCTTCAGTTTTTTTACACTTACGAGGGGCTTGTCCAGCACAGATGTCGAAATCCCACCAAGTTGAGCAGCGTCCCCTTCTACCTCAGCATTCACCTTCTTGGCCGTTGCGCTTGTAATTGCTACTGACCGCGCGTTCGCTGAAATCAAGTCAGTCGTCGTGCTCTCACTCTTTTGCGTTTCCTGTGCTTGTGACTTCGTTGACGTTTTTCGCACCTGCACCAAATCGACTCGTACAACGTCAAACCACGCGACATCACCAAGCCAACCAAAGCAAAAATGATCATGAAAAACACACCTGCACCACAGTATTCTTCATTCCTGCAGCTCCCACAGCATGCAGCTTCGTCGCAGCCTGTCCGACACTTGATCCACCCAACGGCCGCGCCGGCACTAGCGACTTTTTGCTCTCGATCGTCGCTCCTCCGTCCTTCAAAGCCGCCATCAACGTTCCCCCCTTAGTTTCACACGTCGCAGAAACATGGCGCTTCCTCTTTTTGCTCCGCTTGCCACCCGTCAACGACACGACGTGAGGCGTGACAATTGGAACCAAATCACCAGCAGCAGCAGCAGCAGCAATAGTAGGACCCGTTTGCAGCGGTCGTGGATGAACAGACGGCACCTCCAGCACTTCCGACGTCGCCTCTCCTACCGTCTTCGTCTTCTTCCTCATTCCTGTCGTCGTCTCTTGCCCCACCATCTTTTTCTTGAGTCGCTTGCGCTTGTTCTTGTTCATTGTGGCGTGACCAAGCTCCTCAGGTCCAAATGTAGCCATCTTTCCACCGTCGTCTCGCCGTAGCGTATGCGACGTGGCCACTGGTGCTGCACGACCGCCACTAAGATGATCCGCCGACTGCAGGACTGTACCCCCTTTCTTCGTCCCGCTGTGCAACGCGCTTCTCACGGTCTTGTCCGGCGTGACGACCCCCGAAGCACCAGTCGCGATGCCCTTTTTCTTCCCTTTGCGGCCTCTGCCTCTGCCGCTGCGTCCGCCTCGTCCGCTGCTGCTTCCGTCCATGGCTTGGCAACGAGCTTTTCAATTGTTACGATAGGCGCAGAGAAAGGTCGCAAGAATGGGACGTCTTTTGGGTTTTTGGGGAAAAGGGAGAAAAACACAGGATGCGACGCATGTGGGTGGGGTGCACAAGCGATATTGTCGCAGTAGCTGTGTTTTTCTCATTTCTAATTTCCTGACAGCATCGATGTAATAAATCAGGAGGGTCTACGTACATGCATCGTTACTTACATGCACCCTCCTCTAACACGGCTCCCTATTATAGCAAGCAGACAATTATCACGTAGACTTTTTCCATGCAATAATATCTGCTATAAGAAGAAAATTCATCTTGCGGCTAAAAAAATGCTTACTGCTTGTTTCGATTGACACAGCTTGTGCTGTTCTGACTGAGTGCGATCCAGTACACGGGGTGCAGCCTTTGCTTGGTTAAAGTCAAAAAAATGAACTATTTTCACCATACGAATTCAAAATAATACACCGTACTGACCTCTGCCGCTGCTACAGAACGTTAGGTCCACCACTACAAGGCCTATATCCTTCACCGGGGGCAGCCGAGAAGGAATTGTTCGCACACGTGCAGCTACAGGATTGTACTGCGACGGAAAGCTGGACAAAGAAGACCTAATCTGGTGAAACATGAAAAACTTGGATTGCTTAGGCAAACGGCGGGTAGTACGAAAGTCAACGTAATTTAGAAGAGCTTCGATTTGTTCAACAGGGTGTTTTAACTAATTGACAAGCACCTCATTGTATATGTCGCTGGAGCAACGTTTTAGGATTCCGAAGACGTAGATAATCTCACGTTTGAAAATGCCATGTGCATATTCACGCAGGAAGAGCCGCCAGGTGACTAAACGGTCACCATCAACACGCTTGTGGCCTAACGGCTGGTGATCAAGCACGTCGGCATTGTCATAAGCATGAAGCAGATCGCTTTAAAAATCGGGCAGCCAGGGAGGAAACCTATGTATTGAAGCTCGCCGGCATGAATCAAACTAAGGCCACCAACTCCATCCGCGTGCAATGTGCTGCTAACTTTCAGAACATCGCTAACTTTCTTGGACTTATCTGAGCGTTTTCAATCGCTCTGGATGCATCTAGAATTCAAGAAACAATTTATGTTAACATTCGAGCCCGATTTAATATGTAACGCGAGCTGTTCAAATTGCACGTCATACGTGTATCGTTCTTTGTCTAGCATACTTGTGTCGCTCAGTCTGAGATGATCTGCTATATATTCGAAGTCCTCATCCCCAGCTAAAAACATCAGCTGATCAGCACCTCCTCGGATAGAGCGCCGAACATGACCTACGAGATATATGGCGTCATCACACGCCCACATCAGGCCAGTTCTAGCGGCTTTATCGCGTGTGGTGGCTGCTGCACTAGCTCGATATTCTGCTTCGAACGACGTATCAGAAACTCGATCAAGGAACAGTGATAGACGACGCTTGTTGCCATGATCTCACACTTTAAGAGGAAGCAGATGATCGTTGCTGAAATGGGCTCGGTTTGTTTCAAGACTTTGACTACGCGTTGACGTGCCATGTCCGTGCCACATTCTGTGTAACGGGGTGAATCGTTACATAACAATTTATAAGAAATTGTTAATAAAATATAACTATAAGAGTTATATTCTCAGAATATTGTCATTAGGACAAATATTCTGTAGCACTTACGAGTAGTTCCTAATTGGTTGATATAGGCCATTATATCAACCAACGAAGACGCGCCACGACAGACGCACGCAATGAGTGGTGAGCAGATAACTGATTTACACATTTGTATTTAGACATAGTTAGATGAAGATAAATAGTGATTTATTGCAGACATTAACTATTATAAATACAGTTCTACTTTTTACTCTAACCAAGTACTCGCTTCTTCTTACCGTCTTCCTCTGCACGTACGAGTGTACGTGAAGTTACGAGGCACCGCCTTATTCTGTCATCAGAATAAGTAGCTTGTACTGTCACCAGTACAAGCCTCAGGGTGCCCTGTTACACCTGGTAGCACTTTGTAGTCCGTCCAAGGACCACGTTCACATCTAACATGAATATGTTAGATGATGGAGATGACCAAAGCTTTCACGCTACGCGTGACGGCTACTCCCATTTGAGCGATGTCGAATGGGATGCGGTTGAACGAATGGGTTCGACCATGGGCATCCATGCTGTTAGCGTCATGCTAGAGGCTCTCAATAGAGATGCCCAACATGCTACTATCGCCAAGTTCATTCAAAATGAACTTGACGCTGAACGCGAGAAAGTAGCCTTGCTTTACCAACAAGGTTTTCAACAAGCAGAGTTGTTGAGAGAACAGGGTGCTCAACAGTTTGAACTGTTGAGACAGAAGCAGGCTGCTGCTGGCGGGTCGATGCACTCGCGTCGACCCGAGACTTTGAAGATTGACATCTCAAAGTATAGGGGGGTCGAAGAAGACTCCCTCTTGAGATGGTTCGTCGAATTGGATGACGCCATAAGGGCGCGTCGCATCGACGACGGGGATATGCAAGTTGCATTTGCCCAGTCAAATCTGGTAGGACGTGCCAAGACTTGGGCACTGGGGCTCAAGTTGCACGACCCATATGCGTTTGGGTCGTTGGAAGTCTTCAAGTCGCGGCTCAGACAAACGTTTGAACCGCCTAGAGCTGAGTTCAGGGCTCGAACCGAACTCTTGAAGCTCAAGCAGGGTAAGCGTGATGTGCACGCTTACGCGCAACATATACGACATCTCACGAGTTGAATAAGTTCCAATCCGGTGGATGAACACACGTTGGTTTCGGTGTTCATGCAGGGTCTTGCGGATGGTCCCGTCAAGACTCACCTGTTCCGGCTTGAACTAGATTCACTAGAACAAGCCATTTCCATTGCGGAGCAGGAAGACTTCAGTCTGAGACAGGCTCGCGCCAGCTCGACATCATATCGTCAACCGAGACGATACGACAACGGAGGTCCAGACCCGATGGAACTCTGTTATGTAGAGAGCGAGAAGGCTCGCTCTACAGGCTACAAGAAGTTGCAGAGATGCAACAGATGTCAAAAGACAGGACACTACGCTTACGAGTGTAGTGCCCCTCGTCCAGTGTCTCGCGACACTGGGCGTAGTGACCGTCCACCCATGAGAAAGGGGCAGGGACGAGGGTCCGCAGTTGGTGCAAAGACGCAACAACGGGATGGACCGTCAAAAAACGGACAGGGTCAGTAGGTGCGGAGCACCCTACTGGTCTAGCAACGTCAAGAGAATTTGTAGGCCTCTTGATGAAGGTTGCTCCCAACACACAAACGTTGTGCGTTGCTGCTCTAGGTAATGAGGTCTCACTCATTACCTTGAAACTCGAAGTGACGAATAAGTTGTCCCTTCGAGCTCTAGTCGATTGTGGGGCGTCCAACAATTTTGTGCGACGCCAATCGCTAGAAGATGGTCACTTTAAATTCAGTGAATGTGACACACCTCCTACGAGGATGACGGTACGTCTTGCGACAGGCGCATCCGTAACCGTCATGAAGCGTATAGTGAAGATCCACTATACGCTAGAAGATACCCAATATGCCGATGACTTTATCGTATTGGATTTGGATGACAAATTTGGTGTCATCCTTGGAATACCGTGGCTCAGAAGGTACGAACCACGAGTAAACTGGCAACATGAACAGTAACGATGCCTGCCGCTTGTTCATCAGATGGCCATCTGATGAACGTTTTGGAGCGTCCACAAGCGTGTGGATGTACTACGAGTGAGTGCGATGGCCTCACTTGTGGTACGGTCGTTAGTACGACTGCACAAAACCTTAGTGTACCAAACGGTTACACTTCGGAGCAAAGTTCCGGCGGCTGTGAGGAAACACAGGCTGCGCCGAAGGTCCACCACTCGAATAAGTCGGGTGGACTGGGACAAAGATGTATCCCCAGCGGGGAACATCCAGAAGAGAAACAATCGATCGCTCAGGTTAAGCGAAACGATAATCCTAGATCGACTGGAGAGTCTTTTGTAGAGGATCTCGCTGTGGTTGCGCAACCCCAGCTAGAGGAAGTAAAGGGAATAAGTCCCAAGATTACAAATACGGCGGAAATAAGTTCCCCGAAACCCGCGGGAATAAGTCCCCGGGAAGCCGAAGGAATAAGTCCTTCGAAGCCTGAGGGAATAAGTCCCCAGGAAATGACAGAGACATTGAATGTCATAGTCAATAACGGATCAAGTGTAGGCGCTTATACACTTGATCTGATTGCGCCTCCGAAGTTAACTTCGGAGATCACTCAGTTGCCAACGCTCGAAAATAAAAGGTTCTTGCGTGATCTGTGTAGTGGCAAAGTCAAGCAGATCTGCGTCCTCGTCGCTGACGACGAGTGCGTAACCGACATAAGGTCAGCAACAGTGTTCACCGAGAACGAGAGAGTTCTCAGTAGTTCATCTATGGACGAGAGTGTCCTAGATGAAAAGACACGAATTGAGCGATATGACTCCCAATCGTGGGAATCGCTCAAGACAAATTCTCTCTATGAAGATTTGGTTGAATTCAAGGATGTATTCCCTGAAACTGTTCCGTGCGAGTTACCGAAGGATAAAGGTATTCGACACGAGGTCGAGATTAAACCAGGGTAGAAGTACTGTGTCATGAAGCAGTGGCCACTGCCTCGTGAACAAGTACTTGCGATCGACAAGTTCTTTGCCGATCGTTTAGCTGCGGGCCATGTGAGGGAATCAACTTCCCCACATAGCTCTCCGACCTTCTGTGTACGAAAAGCAACAGGAGGGTGGCGGATAGTGCATGCATTTAACAAGATGAATGCTGCAACGGTACCGGCTCAGACGTCGATACCGAGGAAGGACGTAATCATTGATGGTATGTCAAAGAGTACCATCTTTTCGTCCATGGATTTGATGGATGGCTTCTATCAAATCCTTATGCGGGAACGGGATATACCCTATACCGCAGTTAGCACGCCTAGCGGCATGCTCTGGGAATGGCTAGTAATGCCACAAGGGCTTAGTAATGCCCCTGCCACGTTCAACAGATGTGTATCACATCTGTTGAGACCAGTACGAGAATTCGCGCCGAGTTATTTCGATGACGTTTTCCTCCATAGTCGAGCTATGGATGGAAATTCGGACGTTAAAGTTCACAGGTACCACGTCCGACAGGTTCTTACAATCATGCGAAAGCATCAATTGTATGCAAACCTCAAGAAGTGTATATTTGCAGCAAGCGAAATACCACTTCTTGGGTGCATCGTTGGTAAGAACGGTGTACGTCCTGACCCAAAAAGATCAAGGCGACCACCGACTGGCCTGTGCCGGCTGATGTCAAAGGTCTTCGAAAATTCCTTGGGCTAGCGGCGTATTTGCATAAGTACTTACGCAATTACGCCGAGATGACTGTACACCTCTCTCGTTTGTTGAAAAAGAACGAGAGGTGGTTATGGAACGCTGAATGTCAGCGCTCCTTTGATGGTATCAAGCAGAGCTTGATACAATCCCCAGTCCTAGCAATTGACGATCAGGACAGGCCATTTCATGTGGTCTGTGATGCCAGCGATTTCGCAATCGGCTGTGCATTAATGCAGTACGACCTAGAAGGCGTTGAACGCGTCGTCTGCTATCAGTCGCGTCAGCTGCAACCATCTGAGCGAAACTATCCAGTGCATGACAAGGAACGCCTTGCCATGAATATGCACTCGCGAAGTTCAGAGTCTATCTATTAGGAGATAGACCCTTCATTGTTTACACTGACCATGCGTCATTACGCACGGCAGTGAACAGCCCGCACCTTTCACAACGAATGGCGCGGTGGTTGTCATTCTTTGCAGAATAAAACTTTACGGTCGAGTACAAACCAGGACGACTTAATGTCGTCGCTGATGCACTCTCACGTCGTCCCGACTTTGAACCAGTCGTGAAACCCAGGAGTGAGACAGCCACTGTTGCGGTTATGACGTCCTCAGTACCATCTTCAACGTCGCATGATGATGTGAGGCGGGCGTATGCCCAAGGTGGTGAAATTATGAAGTTGTTGACACATCTCTCACAACCATCTCGAGAATCGTTGAAACGATTATCGTCTGCGTATCGATCTGCATTAGATCGATACACTACGCGCAACGGTTTACTGTATTATACAGCCGTTTCTGGTGACACACCACGTGTTGTCATCCCAGATGATACCGATCTGCGTTTGCGGATCATGTTCGAGTATCACGATGCTCCTATAGGAGGACATCGTGGCCGAGATAAAACATATCTCACGGTGAGTCGAGACTTTTACTGGCCCCGCCAGTATCAGTTTGTGCGAAAGTATGTTCGCGCATGCGAAGTCTGTCAACGAGTGAAGTCAAGTCCTTCACTGCGTGCACCTTTACAGCCTCTACCGGTTCCGGCTGAGTGCTGGGAATCCATCTCAATGGATTTCGTCTTTGGGTTACCCAAAGACGCACGCGGGAATACGGGTATCCTCGTATTTGTTGACAGATTCAGCAAAATGGTACACCTTGTGGCTGTACCCGAGTCAATCACAGCAAGTGGCTGTGCTTGTGTCTTTATTGACACCATGTTCCGACTTCATGGGTTGCCCCGTGAACTCGTATCAGACAGAGATCCACGATTCACTGCTGATTTCTGGCGTTCCGTGTTCACATCACTCGGAACGCGCTTGAAGATGTCGACATCTGATCATCCAGAGTCAGATGGTCAGACCGAAAGTGCCAATCGTGTCCTTGAAGAGATACTTCGAGGATACGTACACTCCTTTAAGAGTTGGAGTGAGTTCTTGCCAATGGTAGAGTTTGCCATTAACAACTCGGTGCATGCGTCCACGACACATACACCGTTTTACGTGAATGGCTTACGCCATCCGCGTGTACCCACCTTACTAGAGTGTAACTCTGGTTTAAGGGGGGGAGGGACTCGCGCGAGCAAAAACCGATTTGGTTCACGCTCATCACGCTCTGACGATGAGGTCATTGCGTTTGATGCCGATATCGATTAGATCGATATCGAAGAAGATGATGCCAGTGAGAGTGCGGAAGCCCTCACTGAAGAAAAGGTTGATGTTTCTGCAGTGCGCTCACAGCGCACTGAAGCTAACGAGTCATCAGATGAATTCATACTGGCTCTTGAAGCGGTGGTCCGTTTTGTGCAAGACTCCATCGCCGAAGCGGTGGATAAGCAAAAGCAAAATGCTGACAAGAATGGAAGGGCAAACACTCTTTTATTTAATAAAGGTGACTTAGTCCTACTGTTTACGGTTAATCTACCAAAGCATGTAGTGACTAACTTGGGTATTATTAAACTACTACCCAAGTACATCGGCCCATTTCGTGTATTGCACCGCCTAGGCAATGCATACACGATCGAGTTACCACGTAAGATGCGAACGCATCCCACGTTTTACGTTGGTCGGCTTAAGCCGTACCATCAGTACGCTGCTTCTTCCGATGAAGAACGCCCTTGCGCTCAAGCATCTCGCAGAGAGCCTTGTGCTCCCGATGGTGGGCATCTACAAGCGTCTGAAGAGCAGTTATCTCATCCCGAGACCGATCAACAATCCCACGAGCTACCCTTAGCTCGTCACGAAGAGATGTCAGAGATCTCTCGTTCTCAAGCTGAGCAAAGGCAAACTCAGCTCGATGCTTCGAGGCAGTGTCCGCCATTTGGAGACGCCTATTCCGCTCATGTTCGAGATCGTCGCGTAACCCTTGCGTTACGCGATCAAAGAAGCTCTCGGGAACACACGCTTCTCCATGATCGTGTGGAGAGCGTCTTTCCTCCTCCTCCACCTCCATTAGAGGACTCTCGCGGTGGCCAGCGCTATCTGGTTGAGCAGCTGTTGAACCACCGCGACGTGAACGGACGTCGGACGAGTTATCTCGTACGGTGGCGCGGTTATCCCCCGTCCTGGGATTCTTGGGAGCCCCGCTCCCAACTGATGATCGACGTACTGGGTCTGGTTGAGCAGTACGACGCGGCACATCCTGTGCCGCAGAAGGACCGCTGGAGAAAGTCTTCCCGGCACGGTCGTAAAGATATTTCAGGTTGTCAATCCCTTCGTACATCTCAGTAGAGATACGTACGCGCCACCACGGGCTATTAGGGAGGTAAACCTCCTTAGGTGCTCGTGCAGAGTTGTTCACACAACACGGGCACGAGTCTCCCCATGAGAGGCAGGTTAATCCTTTCTCCCTTGATAGACGATGCAGCTTGTAGCGTGCACCTGTCGGGGTTCTCTTCTCAAACTTATCACGAGCTTTGATAAGTTTGTCGTTCCAAGCGTCACGACCTACATCCTCAAGGTTATGGATGTAAGCGTTCCACGCCTGAAGCAGTGAGGGGCCATCACGCTTGTGATTCCCACTGTACCATCGATGTCTAAAGAAAGCATCGATGATAAATTCATGTTCAGCGCGATAGTTTTTCTCACTGGGGTCAAGGTGATGGATCCTTGACGAATCGAACAATCGTGTTCGATAACGATCACTCGTCGTCGCCGACAAGCGATCCGTGACAGATTTGGGAGGTATCCATGCCTTCTTCTCGGGAGCGAGACGCAAGACATTGCGGTCCCGCTCTTCCTGCGATGTGCCGACAGAAGGACTGGCACCTCGTTGCGAAGTGGTGTCCATAGGAGAACCGACACCACTGTTAGCGCCCGAGTCTTGCGACCTCGAGCGCCTTCGCTTCGGCGATGGTTCATCTCATTCGTCAGATGAACCAAAGATGCTACGACGCATAGCATCATCCATGCCACGCTTGGCAGGCGGCTTGGATTCGATCGCCGTCGATACGGATCCGTCTTCCGTATCAGGAGAGTACGAGACACCGAGCTCGTACTCTGTGAAGACACGAGTGTCTTCATGACCAGCGCCTGCATCACCAAGTGACACAGGCTGGTTCGCTTCAACAACCGATGAGGCATCAGTTGCTGTGGTTTCTGCTTCGGCGTCCGCACAGAGACGTGCGGACGCGCTCTCGGCGGCCTTGCTCGCGCATCGCATGGGCTTGTAAGCATGTGATGAAATGTTGGAAAGTGGACTCGGACCAACAAGTGCAAACCCCGTCCCAAATGATTTGGGACGAGTATCCATTTAGTCAATCAGTTACTAAAGTGACTGATGGTTAAGGGGAAGTGATGTAACGGGGTGAATCGTTACATAACCATTTATAAGAAATTGTTAATAAAATATAACTATAAGAGTTATATTCTCAGAATATTGTCATAAGGACAAATATTCTGTAGCACTTACGAGTAGTTCCTAATTGGTTAATATAGGCCATTATATACACCAACGAAGACGCGCCACGACAGACGCACGCAATGAGTGGTGAGCAGATAGCTGATTTACACATTTGTATTTAGACATAGTTAGATGAAGATAAATAGTGATTTATTGCAGACATTAACTATTATAAATACAGTTCTACTTTTTACTTTAACCAAGTACTCGCTTCTTCTTACCGTCTTCCTCTGCACGTACGAGTGTACGTGAAGTTACGAGGCACCGCCTTATTCTGTCATCAGAATAAGTAGCTTGTACTGTCACCAGTACAAGCCTCAGGGTGCCCTGTTACACCTGGTAGCACTTTGTAGTCCGTCCAAGGACCACGTTCACATCTAACATGAATATGTTAGATGATGGAGATGACCAAAGCTTTCACGCTACGCGTGACGGCTACTCCCATTTGAGCGATGTCGAATGGGATGCGGTTGAACGAATGGGTTCGACCATGGGCATCCATGCTGTTAGCTTCGTGCTAGAGGCTCTCAATAGAGATGCCCAACATGCTACTTTCGCCAAGTTCATTCAAAATGAACTTGACGCCGAACGCGAGAAAGTAGCCTTGCTTCTCCAACAAGGTTCGCAACAAGCAGAGTTATTGAGAGAACAGGGTGCTCAACAGTTTGAACTGTTGAGACAGCAGCAGGCCGCTGCTGGTGGGTCGATGCACTCGCGTCGACCCGAGACTTTGAAGATTGACATCTCAAAGTATAGGGGGGTCGAAGAAGACTCCCTCTTGAGATGGTTCGTCGAATTGGATGACGCCATAAGGGCGCGTCGCATCGACGACGGGGATATGCAAGTTGCATTTGCCCATACAAATCTGGCAGGACGTGCCAAGACTTGGGCTTTGGGACTCAAGTTGCACGACCCGCGGCTCAGACAAACGTTTGAACCGCCTAGAGCTGAGTTCAGATCTCGAACCGAACTATTGAAGCTCAAGCGAGGTAAGCGTGATGTGCACGCTTACGCGCAACATATACGACATCTCACGAGTTGTATAAGTTCCAATCCGGTGGATGAACACACGTTGGTTTCGGTGTTCATGCAGGGTCTTGCGGATGGTCCCGTCAAGACTCACCTGTTCCGGCTTGAACTAGATTCACTAGAACAAGCCATTTCCATTGCGGAACAGGAAGACTTCAGTCTGAGACAGGCTCGCGCCAGCTCGACATCATATCGTCCACCGAGACGATACGACAACGGAGGTCCAGACCCGATGGAACTCTGTTATGTAGAGAGCGAGAAGGCTCGCTCTACAGGCTACAAGAAGTTGCAGAGATGCAACAGATGTCAAAAGACAGGACACTACGCTTACGAGTGTAGTGCCCCTCGTCCAGTGTCTCGCGACACTGGGCGTAGTGACCGTCCACCCGTGAGAAATGGGAAGGGATGCGGGTCCGCTGTTGGTGCAAAGACGCAACAACGGGATGGACCGTCAAAAAACGGACAGGATCAGTAGGTGCGGAGCACCCTACTGGTCCAGCAACGTCAAGAGAATTTGTAGGCCTCTTGATGAAGGTTGCTCCCAACACACAAACGTTGTGCGTTGCTGCTCTAGGTAATGAGGTCTCACTCATTACCTTGAAACTCGAAGTGACGAATAAGTTGTCCCTTCGAGCTCTAGTCGATTGTGGGGCGTCCAACAATTTTGTGCGACGCCAATCGCTAGAAGATGGTCACTTCAAGTTCAGTGAATGTGACATACCTCCTACGAGGATGACGGTACGTCTTGCGACAGGCGCATCCGTAACCGTCATGAAGCGTATAGTGAAGATCCACTATACGCTAGAAGATACCCAATATGCCGATGACTTTATCGTATTGGATTTGGATGACAAATTTGGTGTCATCCTTGGAATACCGTGGCTTAGAAGGTACGAACCACGGGTAAACTGGCAACATCGAACAGTAACGATGCCTGCCGCTTGTTCATCAGATGGCCATCTGATGAACGTTTTGGAGCGTCCACAAGCGTGTGGATGTACTACGAGTGAGTGCGATGGCCTCACTTGTGGTACGGTCGTTAGTACGACTGCACAAAACCTTAGTGTACCAAACGGTTACACTTCGGAGCAAAGTTCCGGCGGCTGTGAGGAAACACAGGCTGCGCCGAAGGTCCACCACTCGAATAAGTCGGGTGGACTGGGACAAAGATGTATCCCTAGCGGGGAACATCTAGAAGAGATACAATCGATCGCTCAGGTTAAGCGAAACGATAATCCTAGATCGACTGGAGAGTCTTTCGTAGAGGATCTCGCTGTGGTTGCGCAACCCCAGCTAGAGGAAGTAAAGGGAATAAGTCCCAAGATTACAAATACGGCGGAAATAAGTTCCCCGAAACCCGCGGGAATAAGTCCCCGGGAAGCCGAAGGAATAAGTCCTTCGGGGCCTGAGGGAATAAGTCCCCAGGAAATGACAGAGACATTGAATGTCATAGTCAATGATGGATCAAGTGTAGGCGCTTATACACTTGATCTGATTGCGCCTCCGAAGTTGACTTGGGAGATCACTCAGTTGCCAACGCTCGAAAATAAAAGGTTCTTGCGTGATCTGTGTAGTGGCAAAGTCAAGCAGATCTGCGTACTCGTCGCTGACGACGAGTGTGTAACCGACATAAGGTCAGCAACAGTGTTCACCGAGAACGAGAGAGTTCTCAGTAGCTCATCTATGGACGAGAGTGTCCTAGATGAAAAGACATGAGTTGAGCGATATGACTCCCAATCGTGGGAATCGCTCAAGACAAATTCTCTCTATGAAGATTTGGTTGAATTCAAGGATGTATTCCCTGAAACTGTTCCGTGCGAGTTACCGAAGGATAAAGGTATTCGACACGAGGTCGAGCTTAAACCAGGGTAGAAGTACTGTGTCATGAAGCAGTGGCCACTGCCTCGTGAACAAGTACTTGCGATCGACAAGTTCTTTGCCGATCGTTTAGCTGCGGGCCATGTGAGGGAATCAACTTCCCCACATAGCTCTCCGACCTTCTGTGTGCGAAAAGCAACAGGAGGGTGGCGGATAGTGCATGCATTTAACAAGATGAATGCTGCAACGGTACCGGCTCAGACGCCGATACCGAGGAAGGACGTAATCATTGATGGTATGTCAAAGAGTACCAACTTTTCGTCCATGGATTGGATGGATGGCTTCTATCAAATCCTTATGCGGGAACGGGATATACCCTATACCGCAGTTAGCACGCCTAGCGGCATGCTCTGGGAATGGCTAGTAATGCCACAAGGGCTTAGTAATGCCCCTGCCACGTTCAACAGATGTGCATCACATCTGTTGAGACCAGTACGAGAATTCGCGCCGAGTTATTTCGATGACGTTTTCATCCATAGTCGGGCTATGGATGGAAATTCGGACGTTGAGGTTCACAGATACCACGTCCGACAGGTTCTTACAATCATGCGAAAGCATCAATTGTATGCAAACCTCAAGAAGTGTATATTTGCAGCAAGCGAAATGCCACTTCTTGGGTGCATCGTTGGTAAGAACGGTGTACGTCCTGATCCCGAAAAGATCAAGGCGACCACCGACTGGCCTGTGCCGGTTGATGTCAAAGGTCTTCGAAAATTCCTTGGGCTAGCGGCGTATTTGCATAAGTTTTCACGCAATTACGCCGAGAAGACTGTACACCTCTCTCGTTTGTTGAAAAAGAACGAGAGGTGGTCATGGAACGCTGAATGTCAGCGCTCCTTTGATGGTATCAAGCAGAGCTTGATACAATCCCCAGTCCTAGCAATTGACGATCAGGACAGGCCATTTCATGTGGTCTGTGATGCCAGCGATTTCGCAATAGGCTGTGCATTAATGCAGTACGATCTTGAAGGCGTTGAACGCGTCGTCTGCTATCAGTCGCGTCAGCTGCAACCATCTGAGCGAAACTATCCAGTGCATGACAAGAAACTCCTTGCCATGAAGTATGCCCTCGCGAAGTTCAGAGTCTATCTATTAGGAGATAGAACCTTCATTGTCTACACTAACCATGCGTCATTACGCAAGGCAGTGAACAGCCCGCACCTTTCACAACGAATGGCGCGGTGGTTGTCATTCTTTGCAAAATACAACTTTACGGTCGAGTACAAACCAGGACGACTTAATGTCGTCGCTGATGCACTCTCACGTCGTCCCGACTTTGAACCAGTCGTGAAACCCAGGAGTGAGACAGCCACTGTTGCGTTTATGACGTCCTCAGTACCATCTTCAACGTTGCATGATGATGTGAGGCGGGCGTATGCCCAAGGTGGTGAGATTGTGAAGTTGTTGACACATCTCTCACAACCATCTCGAGAATCGTTGAAACGATTATCGTCTGCGTATCGATCTGCATTAGATCGATACACTACGCGCAACGGTTTACTGTATTATACAGCCGTTACTGGTGGTACACCACGTGTTGTCATCCCAGATGATACTGATCTGCGTTTGCGGATCATGTTCGAGTATCACGATGCTCCTATAGGAGGACATCGTGGCCGGGAGAAAACATATCTCACGGTGAGTCGAGACTTTTACTGGCCCCGCCAGTATCAGTTTGTGCGAAAGTATGTTCGCGCATGCGAAGTCTGTCAACGGGTGAAGTCAAGTCCTTCACTGCGTGCACCTTTACAGCCTCTACCAGTTCCGGCAGAGTGTTGGGAATCCATCTCAATGGATTTCGTCTTTGGGTTACCCAAAGACGCACGCGGGAATACGGGTATCCTCGTATTTGT